CAACAGCATATTGTATCTATCATTTAACACTGAAATCAATGAAAATCAATATTTCTTTACCATAAAAAAACACAAACCTGGCTCAGATGAGCACTTAAATCCAAGACATTATTCGTACAAATTCACATAGTATGAAGTATAACTTTATGGGAATTATACATGAGAGCAATGTTCACACTATACCACATATAGAAAAGCACAAAAGTGTACTATCAATTACTATAAGTAGTTGCATGATAGGTAAGGCTCTGTTCTGCCTTTCTTGTGTAAAAATGTCACCAGAACACTTAACATTTTATTGACTGTGTATTTGTGAAAACAGAGAGAGGTCGCCAAACAGTCAGACGTTATCTCCTACAGTTTTAGTGGCAAGAGTCTGAGATCTCTGAGACTAATGTTGATGAGAGGAATGTTAACAACACTTCAGACAAGATGCTCCAGATGCTCGATCTGCTGTAGCAGAGATTCTGCACAGGCACTTTCTCAGGATCTTGATTCACAAAGTTGCCCAAGGCGTACTTACTAATGCAAGTAGAATATGTAGAATATGGTGAATTGTAATAAGGGTTGGCATGTTAATTGTTTCTGTAAAGTATTTTATAATTGTGAAATATCAACTACAAAATATCCATATTTACATATTACCTCTATTAAGTGGTTTATTTTTAATAGGGCTGGGCAAAGGTAAAAAATATTAATCACATTGATCGTATGAGTTTGAGTGTGATTAATCTCGATTAATTTCATGTTATAAGCAAAACCAATTAATGAATTAAAAAGTAACGTGTAGGGCACTTTTATTGGAAATGTAAATGAGAGAGGCATTCAAGGTATTCTGAAGGCTCAAGAAAAAATATTGAATGAATTTTTGTACTACTAATATATTTTTTCAATATTTTTTTATTCAGTGAGTAATAAACACTACTACTAGTAATAATTTCTAGATCATTGTCATAAACGTGGACTGATATTTCTTGGGAAACAAAGGGTTAATATAATGGAATGGAAAAGGACCAATTACAATTTTTCTTCCAATGGTATCTGAGTAAATCAGTGAAGGAACTAAGTTTGAGATTGACAGTTGTCTTCGCCAATCATATTTCATTGAGTTATGGGTGGGATCATATCGTGAAATTTTCTTTGTGAATACACTGTGATAGCATTATGTAAGTGAGACCGCAGCGACGAAAACCGCACTGGGCACCTCTATTTGGACGCCTCAGGGGCGTCTGGAAGAAGGAGAAAAAAGAGAAAGACCCGCGAACCAGAGCCCGTGGCCCGGACAGAGCTAGGAGCCCACGGAAGCTCAGAGCCCATGGCTGGTCCGGCCAAGCCCGCGGAGGCTCGGACACGTTGCATCTCGCGTGGGCAGAAAAAAGTGAAAAAAGTTTCAAGAAAAGACGTCAAACTTAAAGAAATGCTTGCGGTAGAGTTTTTCAAAATATAAGCCATTGAGCAACAGACGTTTACAATAAAAAATAAAAAATAAAATAAAATTGCGTTAACGGCATTAAAATAATTGTCGTGATAATGAATTAATTAGTTAATGCACAGTTAATGCGTTAACGTGCCCGGCCCTAATTTTAAAAAAGACAATAGTCTCTACAGCACATCAAAATACAGTAAGAAAGCCAGTCAGTCTATAAGTAAAATGCATAGAAATACAATGTTCAGTTGTCCCAACTTTTGCTTATTCGTGATTATATTCAATTTCAAAGTCACATAATGTATTACAAATAAGCAATACTTTTTATGTGACCTAAATGATTGAATTTGAGTGTATTTAATGTGAAATGTATATACAGAACAATATTATGTCCCCATCATTTTTTGTTGCTTATATTAATCGAGGAGCAATCTATAGAAAGGTCTGCAGTAGTCCAACAGAACTGGTCCAGACAGCTAAAGAAGACAGAACATTATTTTTATTCTGGCCTTCCCTGGGGATGTGAATGTCTGGAGACTTAACATGTCTTGGCCTTCTCAACATCATTCTCCACCAGGGCATGTCAATTTAGTGAATGTACATTTTACTCACAATGAGGTCTTCTAGTTTCGGCAGGAAGTTGTAAACTGGAACTTTTGTTTATGCTAGAGGGCCAAAACTCTGAGGCAGCATCAAATTGTTTTAGCTGCAATAAATCAATAGTATGTTTTTTTAAAATAATAAACAGTATATGTATACCCACATTATTGCTTTGTCTGCCTTCACTTAGAATGTTGTGAATTCTAATGAGATACAGCATGTTTAATTTCTTCTGTAAAGTATTTTTATAATTATTACTGTTCTATAACAATATATCAACCACATAATATCCATATTTACATATATTCAGTAACTACTCAGGTAGAAGAAGGATATTAGGGTCTCCAACATATCCAGATGTAGTTCAGCAGAATATTTTAAACTGGAACTTTACTTTATGCTAGAGGCTCAAAACTCTGAGGCAGCATCAGTATGTTTTAGCTGTAATAAATCAATAGAATGTTTTTTTTTTTGGTTTTAATAATAAAGAAATATATAAGCCTGTCACAATAATTACTAAACCAACTTATCACTCAGTACATGAAAGAACACTATATTCTGGAGCTCAGTATTTATCATGTGAACATTTTCTTTGCATTAGTGTTGAGATCTTTGTTATTTAACACAATAAGATTTGAGCTGTAGAGGGTAGAATAAATAACTTCCACAGCAAATAATTGGTTCATTCTGCTATTTATTTCTTGCAGCTAATTTTTTTAATGATACTTTCTGTTTAAATAATTGTGTCCTGTGATTATCTTGCTTTATTATTAATGTGCTAGTGATACACACACACACACATATATATATATATATATATATATATATATATATATATATATATATATATATATATATATATATATATATATATATATATATATATATGGTGCTTCGAAATTACTATTGTGACAGGCATTATCGCTTGCCCTGCTTTCGCTTAAGACATTCCCACATGAATCTGTATAACTATGGTATCTTGTCTATTCCACACACTGCATCAACTGTCTGTCTGCTTTACGGATTTGTCATTTACAACGAATGTCTCTGAATATGTTGTTTTTCAGAACGCTATTCTACATCAATCACTCACTATTGCATTTAGCAGCGATGACCTCCACTGTGGTAATTTGTCGACAGCTGGTACGTGCTAATTTGTCTTTCAGAGCCACGTTTTTGATTGTCAGTGTATTCAATGATGTTTAATTTAACAACCAAGTGCTCTTAGGTGACCCAAATACTCCTCTCCAACTTTTGTATGTATTGCAAGTTCTGCTGCGCCAAGGCAATTACGCCTAAGAATAGCTTTTATGTCGCCAGTAAGATGCCGCAATTTGATCAAAAGCTTCAAATTGAATGGTTAGGAATTTTCTAAAAAGCTATCCAGAAAGTTTCAAATCCTTGTTTACATGATTGAGTTCTGACTCGTTACTGGCTATGCTGCCCCCAACGCTCATAAGGCGGTGTAATGAGAAGATGGGCTGCTTTGGCGAAGCTTCCCAAGAGACTTATATGATCTGCAAGTTTTATGATTGCAGAGTGCAGGCCGGGTATTGCTTTGACAATTAATTTGTGTTAAGGGTGAAGGGAATGATGGAAGCAGCATCGTGCTATGACTCATGCTGGCCACAACCATATTTTTTCCTCAGAGCACATCTTCTCTTTTTTTACATAAACATTTTTGATTAATTAAATATACGATGTCTTAGAATTAATGTCTACTCTTATTTACCTTATGCACCCTATATTAAATTAAACTGCAGTCCCATCTCACTGATATTAAAATTGATTCAACAAAATTTTAACTTAAAGATTAAATGACCAGTTTTAAAGTTTCACCAACACGCAATATAGAGGTTTATTTTGTATTTCTTAATTATTAATACTTTTATGTCCTTATACAAAGTCATACATATCAGGTTTTAGACCTACACAGTGCCATATGAATCTGTATATTGGTAAATTAATATATACCCTTATTTACATTTGATTAAAACACATTCAATTGTAGAGCTGAGATCCCATGTAGAATTAGATACAGATTCTGTATAATTTTGAGATTGAGGTGGATTATACAAAACTTTACTAAAAGAACAAATGACAAATTTTAAAGTTTCATCAGTATTCAGTATAGTGGTTTATTTATTTTTTTTATTTCTTAATTAATACTTTCTGTCCTTATACAAAGTCATACATATTATTTTGTAGACAGACATTGAGGCGGATTATAGAAAACTTTACTAAAAGAAGAAGAAAAAGGAGATGGAGGAGAAGATGATAGATACATACTCTATTGATCCTGACAAGTTTTAAAGTTGATATAGAGCATAGTGGTTTATTATTTATTTCTTAATTTCTTATTAGTACATTCTTATCCTTATACAAAGTCACACATATCATATTTTACACTTGCATAGTGCCGTATGAATCCTTGTGCTTATAAATTATATATTAGCATATAAACCCACGTATTACTGTGTTAGATATACCCTTATATTTCATTCAAATTAAAAACTGGCACATATCCATCAACTGTGACAGACCAATAATATCTGGAATAATTTAACTGACAAACAGCATTTTGACACCTAAATGAAGAACTTCCGCTCATATACAATTTTACATACACATTATTTATGACGACAGCTTTTCAGTGCGCGCGATGAATGATGGATAAGCATGCTTGTTTATTCATTGAGTGTTGCTTGTGTATGAAACTAATAGTGTTATACATATGTACTCAGCATTGCACCATAAAAAATATGTACAAAGCTTATAGCAAAGTACAGCGATGCCGGCAGTGCTGTTTTGAAAAGTTTTTGTTAGGACTTTAATATCTGAGCGTCTGACTAGGAGTTGAAAAGACGTCAACATAGAGACCTGCGTTGTTTGTTTCACAGCAAGTGACATTTTACTGCTGCTGAATTTTACACAATAATAAATCCATCCTAATCTTTTTGATCTGTTTTTATAGGTGATCCTCATGTTGACAAAATATTACGACTTCAACACCGGCAGAGTGACGGAAAGCTCTTTATGGAGGTAAGAGAGTACAGGAATCATTACTGTATGGCTATAGTAACATGAGCACCATGGCATAACAAAGGAATTCAATCTAAAGTAATGATAATGTTGAGTGGCTGTGCATTTCCCAAATGCCATTAACAAAGTGAGAGCAAAAGAAGCTACAATAAGGGCTGAGGCTTTCTAAATATGTTTCAATACACACTATAAATATATTCATATCTATGTCCATCTCATTTTTGCAATAAGGACTGTGGAGAGATGTCATTGCCAATATATGGTGTTTTAAACTTATTAGCAAAATCAAATGGAGTGGAAATCTTAATAATTTCTTTCTCATTAGAACTGGTTATGACAAAATGTGTGCAGTGGTGATTTTTTTCTTCACCCTGGGGCATATTTATGCAATGATTTGATTTGTATTATTCTATACTGTCCCCATGTCAGTTTATTTGGTTATTATTTTGGTACCAAGCTCACCATTGTGATTAGTTTTATATCTGCCTCATTGTTTGTCTGTTGTTGTTGCCTTTTGGAAATTCTACCTGAATGAGCAAACACAGAATGTGTTTAAGTCTTTGTACAATAATAAGATTGGTACGATCCATTATGGCTTTATATGGTCAATGCAGGACTAATATAAGAAATGAGAACCTTTGGTTGATTCCATGTTTGTTGTAACATATTCTCTCCCTCGTTCTTTCATTTACAGTGATGGTAAGAATGTGTATTTTGTAACATATTCTGATACATGGGTCAATCAGATTACCACATTCTGAATACTTGGGATACTTTTACATAAAATCACACTATATGTAAAAATATGACATATAACTACAATCACCTTTATTTTTGTTATTATTACACATTATTACACCACTCATTTATTTTGTTTATAATAGTGTGCAATAGGATTGTTCCGATTTTGTCCTGATCCCCTATTTCATGACACCAGTATGAAACTGCAACTACTGATTAACAGATCAAGCACTCGGTAAATGTAGATATTATGTTAATTATTAAATTAAGTTAAGTTATTATCTTTCATTTGTAAATTAAGGATCTGTAGCTAATTGCTGATCCAACTGTATCCCTGATGTGTTTTTGAGACCTACTGTTGACATTTATTTACTCTAATTACTTGGAATAACACTGAAGACATTACAACACTATCTTGAAATTAACCCACACAAAAGAATCAAATAAGAGGCCAGGTTCAACACAGAATTTTCCACTTCAAGGAAATTTCATTTTCTAAAATTGGAAAACTGTAAAGCACAAAAATATTAGTCAAATTATAGCTCACTCAATTTCAATGTTTTTGTATGTTTTTGTTTTCCTAACTCAAACAGTCTTTTGTATCTGAAAATGACTACTATTAAAATTAGCATATTTTCATTACCTCGGAGCATGACTAAAAATAATAGCAACTCTAATAACATCCTATCTTCTCACCAAGCGTCCCACATGTGATATTCTTGTTTATTCTGATAATTAAAAAAATACCCATTCATCTAGTAAATTGCCTCATGACTTTTGCTGTTGCAATTTTCTGCTTGCTTGAAATGCTTAATGATACTATCAGAATCTTAACTAGTAGGTGCTGCTTTCCTTTGGTGTTGTTTTCAAGCTGTTTAATGTCATGTAATTGAATTTTAGGTCAACTGATTACGGCACCACATATGAGAAGCTTAATGAAATAGTTGGACTGAAGACTGTTCTGAGCTATTTGTATGTGAGCCCCAACAACAAGAGAAAGGTAGGTGTCATATTGCAGTGAGGATTATCATAATAATTTTTCCTCCAAAAGCTGTTGCTGTTCCTTTTCAAGTGTTTTGGTTGCAGTGACAGTACTCTGCGAATAACTGTGTAACAGATATTTGTTCCCACATAATATGCTGTATATCCCTTAGCTGTGTATGGCGGGAGCTAGAAATGCTAAGTTTAGTCAAATACTTTTAAATTGGAATTATTCATATATTTAAATATATGTTTACCCTGGTACCAACCTGTTCTATCCCATCAATTTTAATGAGGCCACAAAATAAATAAAGCAATAAAGGAAACTTTGGAATGGTACCACAGCAGGGAATGCAAACGTTTTGTCTTCACATACTGGAATGGTCTATAGATAGCATATATCTATATCTATATATATCTATATCTATATCTATATCTATATGTAAATATCTTTTTTAATGTAGTTTGTAATCTAACTATATGTACTGTATGTTAAATGTATGTTAATCATAGTGAGAATAACTGATTTAAGATCATTTGTTATGTCAGCAGGTATGATAATAGTTTAATTTAATGTTTATTTGAAGAGACAGTGTACAGAGATTAAAGGTACACTGTGTAACTTTTTGGCTGGAGTTTGTCACCTGCTTCTTTTTATGAATTTGTCGTTGCCTGCCTGGGCTGTTCCACAGTTTGAGATTAAACAGCTCTACTTTACATTTATTCAATTGCAAATACATTTATAGCTCAAAAATACTTACAAATCAGGCATTCTGACTGTGAGCGGGGTTGCCTCTCCACACATCTGACCTGTAACTAGGTCTGGTTTAGTCTCCATGAAGATAGAAAGGTTTAATAAAATGCTGTGGAACATCCCAAACAAAGCTACAACATGGGGAAAGTCATTTGACAGACCCTCCACCAGAAAAGTTACACAGTGCACCGTTTATCTTATAAAACAGACATGGTCCGTACCAGATTATAGCTCAACAGCTAGTTTCCATCTGCAGTCCCTGACACGTACAATGTTTTTACAGTGTAGAATCTCGTAATTGAACCCATTAAATTTGCAACTGTGACATCCCTATTACCAGGCTTATCTAACTCGCTAGCTGACACTTGTTTCCACGCAGTGTCTCAACAGGGGGCTTTGTCAATCCGTGTATTGCACAAGCACACTTAAGCCCCAGGAAATGAGTGCTGTCAAGGTGGGCCAGTGATTGTCCCTGCTCTCTCCTCTCTTGCCTCAGATCATGTTGCTGACTGACCCGGAGGTGGAGAACAGCCTGCTCATTAGTCTCGACGAGGGGGCGTCCTATCAGAAACACAGCTTAGCCTTTGATATCCTCAGCTTGCTTTTCCACCCCGAGCAGGAAGACTGGATCCTGGCATACAGTCACGACCAGAAGGTAAAAGACACAGTGCTACATGCTACTTCATGCTACTTCATGCCTGTTTTAGCTGAGAGATTAAGGAGCTGACCGTGGTGCTGATGCTCCACAAAGCCTGGCTCCTGTTGAGTCTAGTGGGCTTTGTGGTCTAATTGTTTATCACAGTTATTATAGTGTGAGCAAGTGGAAACCAGTTGGAAAATAAACCGCATTGTAATTGTTGTCTATTTTGGGCAATAGGTGATTATGTTCTGTTATGATTCTATTAAGGGTCCTATATTACTCAAAACTGACTCTTGTGAGCTTTAAGCCATGTTAGAATGCTGCTACTTCAACCTGCCTAGAGTTGTTTTTTGTTTCATTCACACATTTTTGTCTAATCATTAGTCATTAGTCTGTCTACATTTCAAAAACTCAAAATGCTCTGTTCCAACTTGTGATGTCACGAAGTGATAGCTTTCAAGTTAACGGCTCCCTAGTGCCTTTAGTTCAGTAGAGATTGGCAGGGTCAGGACTGAAATTATCCAAATGATTGAATGAAACAAAACACAACTTCAGGTATGTTCGTGATGAGGAAATAACACTGTAACATAGAAAAGCGTAATATGGGCCCTATAACATTAGTGAAATAACTCAAACCTTCCCTTTTAAAATTTTAAAGGTGCCCTGTGTGACTTTTCTGCTGTCTGCTTGTCTCTAGTGCATAGTATTAAACTTCATAAAATCTTAAAATGGAGATACGCAGGTAGGACCACTAGGCCATATCACAGCTAAAATCTCTTGAGTGGATTAAATCTATATACATTTAATCCCATAATTTGGAGCAAACAATAATATTGAAACTAATTTATGCCCAAGAGCAGATTTACACCACAAAAACAATTTTAAATGTACAATATACTTACTGTAATTTGCACCTGTAATTAGTTATAGAAGTTATTAATTCCACCTTTTATATCTTAAAGCTTTCAATCTTATCATATATATCATATATTACATACATATAGTATCAGTAGTGCAAAGAATTCATACACACGATAAATATTCAACCCCAAAAATATTATTTTCAGCTTTCAACTATATGTTGATACAGTAATTATCATGACACACTTAATGCTAGAAAATTCAAGAAAAAATGTAGTGTTTTTAAACTGTCACTCTGTTTAAGAAATCACTTGTCACGTCAATCACATCTAACACAATAAAAAGGCTATTTGAGTTGTTTCTACATCATAAAAATGCTGCACGACTTTGGATATTTCTCTACAATTTGTTTCACCCATGCTTCCTGACTCCTGCACTTTATGAACCGTTGTATTATGAGCTACATCCCTGCATGTCCGCCTCCCAGCTTTGTCAACGCTTCACATACTCCCCTTTCCAAAAATGGTGATAGCCTCTTGAGTGATAAGCTTGGTTTCCTGAGTCTGAGTCACCTCCCCTCACCCATTACAAACTTACATTACAGTTAACATCGAACAACTTTAAAACAGTTTCGTATTTCTAATTAAAAATGCACATAATCAGGCTGTGGCGGGCATCCTTTTCCCCTACCTTCAGGACAAGCAAAAACACACGCCATATAAGGCGAGTCTGAATTTCCAGAACAAGTTTATATACCATGACTGACTGTACGCGAATAGACCCTGAACAACATCGGCGCATTGGAAAAAGTTACCAATCCACACATATTCAGCTTCCCACCTCCATTACTCTCCCTGGTAACCCCGCTGTCTTCTTTACTCTACACCCAAGACATCAAACCTGGCCTCCCTCGCCGCGCGCTATTGGAAGGCTTGGATTTTTTTGGGAGAGAGAAAAAGCAGTCAAGGTCTCCGTAGTGAGATAAATGTTCCAGGGAGGAAGATGAAAGCCACTGCTAGATAGCCTTGGACGGGTCAAAATAAAGATGCTTGACTGGAGAAGTTTGCCTCTGGGTCATTTCTTGCAAAGCTTCAATCTGCATATGCTCTTTCCATTCTATTCCTTTTATCATGGCTTGATTGAAATTAATTACAGCTAGCTTTCATTTTCCAGTGTATTGATTGTCCGTCATGCCATGTTTTTTTTTCTTCCCCACGAAGTCATAAGCTCTTAAGAAGAGTCTAAATGATGTGGCTAATCCTTGCAAAGCTACAATGCTTAAGAAGATCATTATGTCGAGATGACAGGCTTTCAGTATGTTTGGACATGGATTCTAAAAGGGCCACTACAAAGCTTGGAGGGACAAAAGCAACATATGGCAGTTAAAGGTTCCAGATGCTATTTCTTTGTTGTTCCACAGTATGGGACTTAAACTATGTATCTCACATTTGTTTAAATTACCAAAGTTTTTATTGCTTACAAAATGCCGTGAAAAACATATATTCTCACTGTAAGGGCTTGCCTTTCAAAAGATCTGGCCAGTAACTCTGCCAGCTTGTCATTGACATTGATGTGAGTAAGTTAGTGAGTACTTCAGGGACAATAAAGTGTACCTGCACTGTGTAATTTTTTGAGTGGAGGATCCGCCAGTTGCTTGTCTACATACAAGTGTTATTTCTTTGCCTAGAATGTTCCACAGTATCCCATTAGTTTATTTCATCAGAGAACACATTAATTTCACAATAAACTTGTCTATCTCCATGGAGACAAGTAGGTCATGCCCCTTGGAAAATTACAGCTCAGATTTGTGGAAAGGTTAACATTGACAATGAATATTCTTTGAGTAATACTGTATAAAACACCTGTAATTAAAAATGCAAGTTAGAATAAGTTCACGATAACTTCCTGGAGTCAAGCAGAGTAGTTCCATCGTCCATTTTTAACCTTAATCTTGTGCCATGGAACATTCCAGGTAAAGCAATAACATCTCTATGGAAAAAAGTAGTTGGTGGACCCACAAGTTCATCTTAAGTGATTGACTAAATAGCATTCCACAGAGGTATTGATGTTTTATAGCTTTGATTTCATTTTACCCCAGATAATGTATGATGGAACACTACAGTTTGTCTTTCGGAGGTCCCATACAGGATTATTTATGCTATTTACAAAATGCATTGTTCCATCACTGAAATGAATACGCCCAGTGCACCATAATTTGACAACTTTATTTGTGTATTTCAGCTCTACGTCTCAGTTGAGTTTGGAAGAAGATGGCAGCTTGTGCATGATAATGTGGTCCCCAATAGATTCTACTGGTAAGTGATTCATTGTCCTTTTGGTGGAAAATGCAACCCTGGTATTATATGACATGCTCACAAAATATAAAGCATAATTGAATCCTTGAAACAAGACATTAATAAAGAAAATGTATTTGTTTTGGAACCTCTCTAGTTACTCAGAGCATATTTACTGAGTGCACTCAGTAGCTTTTAGATTAGGCCCACAGGCTAAGGATATGTGCCTGTTTGATTCTGCTTGTAGTTTGCAAGTGGTTTATACAGTCTCCAGGCTTTTTTCTATATTAGTTCATTGGGGTATTTGACTTTGCACCTGAATTCATTGCCATTTGAACTACTCCCCACTTCCCTGAACTAAATGTATAAATTGGTGCTTTATTGACATGATGTAAACAGAGTTTTTACTGATATGAAAATAAGTGAAAATTTTGGCTTTCAGCTTGTTGTGTTTAATGTAGAGGAAAGCATTTTGCATAGTGACCCGTTGCCCAGTGATTAAATGGCTCTAAGAGCAAAGCATTTCTTTTTGCATATTTGGTGGGTGTTTTAGATATTAAAATATAATATATAAAATATACAAATATAACTATCAAAACATCATTACCCATAAACAGTGAGTTTATCATTTTATTAGGCTTGCTCTTGTTCATACCCTTTCAGGTTAAAATTATAATATTTATTCACTTCATTTTCTTCCAAAAGAGATTAACAGTGACAATTTTATGAAAAGTCAGAGTAACATTTACACTAGGAGAAGTTTAATTAAGTTCTTTTGGCTTTTTCTCACCTGCTAGTAATTAATGAATTGTTGGTTTTTATCTGTTCATTTATTAGATTGCAAAATGTATCAGATCAAAATGTATTTATTTGGAATGCAAATGTTATAATTGTTTTTAAATTATTATTATCTTTTGTGTATCAATTATATGAGATGCTCTACTTCAGGTATTCTCACTGCTCATACCTAAGGACAGTAGATACTAGGTTGGACAACAGGCTCTTCACGCTTACATCAGAAACTAGGAAGACGTTTGGAAACATGCAATGACAAAATTTAGGAAAAATTAGAAAATGGCCCAGTTTTCTACATCTACATGTCACTGTAGCATTCGGTTATGTTCTGTTAATCAACAATTACAACCATACATCAGTTTTTATAATTTCCCCACTGACACACAACTTCAAGCGCACTGGGTACAAGCAATTAGAAGAGATGAGAGCGCCAAATTCAAGATTATTCCAAACAGCACATATGTATGCTGTTTTCATTTTACCTCTGATGACATTTACTTCAGTGGGTTTTATCACAGTCGGTAGGCGAGCCCAGTGTCCGTAACTACACTGGAAACTATCATCGCATGTTTCCAAACATCTTCCTGGTTTGTGACGTAAGCGTGAATAGAGCCTATACACCTTATCCTCCTTACTGTAAACAGCAAGAGGATGGTTCGTTCCTTAAAGAACCCATTTGACACTATTCTTTGATCTGTGTTATAATGTTGTTTCCTTAACAAAATTTGTGTTTTGTTTCATTCACATATGTTTAACACACAAACCCTACATATTTAGGCTGAGAATTTCCCTCAAACGGAAGACCCTTATGATGTTATGTGGCAATACAGGAAGTGCTCCACTGTGTAAACTCTACACATCTTCACTAGAGCCCGACCGATATGGATTTTGTTGTAGCCGATATGAAACCGATATAATGGGAGTTGGAGCTGCCGATAGCCGATATTATCGCCGATATATTTAGTGATGTAAAAATTCACTGTAAATGTTGAATTGTTTAAAAAACTTAGGTTTGGCTCTGGTGGATTTTAAATTGGGTTTATTTAGGCAACATTTATTGTTATTCTGCCTTTTTACATTATATTTACAGACAGTAGGTTGGCTTAATGGCATTTTTGCATCACATTCTAGACACTAGTGATGGGCTCACTAAAATTCCAGTTCTTTTTAGAGAACCAGACTCTTAAACCAGGACTGGCTCGGACTCACTAAAAGACTGCTGGTTCTTTTGGCTCCCAAATAGAAAATAAATGAATAGAAAAAAAGTGAGAGAAAGAGAAAACACGGCTCCCAATAAGGATCAGGCTCCCGACGTTCGGTTCAAAGAGCCGACTCTAAGAGTCATTTCGTTCGCGACTGACCCATAACTAGTAAAGAAAGTAGCGCTATTAGCCTTTAGCCGTAAATACGTGCGCGCCGTGGTAATTAATTATATGCGCAAATGTCATAATTCACACGTCTATTCACAGCTCATTTACATATCTATGCAGGTCCAGTAACAAATATACGGCCAATAGTCAATTTACAATAGGCCAATAGAAAACAGTCTGTTTATGTGCGAGAGCTACAGCAGCTAACCCATAACAAATGACCAACACTAGCTTCAAAGTCGACATATTTCCAACACTCACCGTTCATACAGGCTCCTCCTCACATCACAAATCTGCACTAATAAATGTCCTTTTAATCCAGACTCAAACCGATTGTCCGTAAAAAGAATATAATCTCAGTGTTTGGATCTGTGTCTGCGCGTGTAAACAAACACACGTGAGTGACTCGACTCTGTGGTGTGTTCAGGGACAGTACGGACACACACACAGACAAATGACTCCGTAGATAAATACTGATGTGGAGCCACATATTAGGACATTTATCTGTCTGTAAATTGGATTAAATGAACAGAATGTAGAGAGTCTAAGATTTTTAACAACGTATCACATGCCCACGTGAAATATCGGCCCCTATCAGCAAGCATATCGGCCGATAACTGATATGCCTCCAGGTGCCCATATTGGCCGATAATATCGGGCTCTAATCTTCACTATATCATATGGATAATTACAGCCCTGTAATTGCCAATATCTACAGAACAAAATTAAAAGGTAGCTGTTAACTTGAAAACTACCACTACATGACATCACAAGGTGGAACTGAGCATTTTGAGCTTTGGAGGTGTACACAGACTAATAATAAATTGCTTAAACATGTATGAATGAAACAAAACACAACTCCAGGTATGTTTTTGATGAGGTAACAGCATTTTAATATGGCTTACAGCTCACAAGCATCAATTTTGTGTAATATAGGACCTTTAATCCTTGTTAAATCTTCCCTTCAGGACATAAATACTAGTCTCCCAACCTTTGCCCGTGTCATTTTCACCTTTGTGTCTTTCAGAATTGTGTTAGATTGACAGAATCTTAGTAGCCGTAGGGGTCCATAATGTGAAACCTTTGTTACTGTGAAAGACTCTTGTATGATTTAGCAATTACATCAATTCATTAACCTCATGGCATCATTGTTTAAGTCATTTTTCAAGGTAGTTGGGAAAATAAAAAAATACAAAAATATGCTGCTTATGTCAATAAGACTACTAGAGCAGTTTGTGTGTGTGTTTTGGCTGTAAAAATCTTTCTAACTGGCAAGAGATGGAGCCAATGACACCTACAGACACAGCAGGGTCAGGAGAGAAGAAAAGCTCAAAGTGGCCAAGAAATGACTTGAATATCAGTTATGCTACAAGGCCTGCAAACTGAACATTTCTCCCAAATCCAGAAAGCACTTGGTTTGAATGGACTCATTTCTTCGCCAATAGTTTGAAGAGATCAACTTCAGTTTTGCCTTCACACCCTGTGCTATTTATGATTCATACTTCTGACCACTGAATTTTCCATTGGATGGGGCACATTGATATGGATGGAACATAGTGTACTGTAATCTTGCAGTAATGTTGCTCTGCCTGCTGGATTGCTTCTTCTGTTTTAATGTCTCCAATGAATATACACTGGGAGATGAGAAGAGAGCTTGTGAGCAGGTGCAGAAGAAGGAGCAAAGAGAATAGACAAAAGCATAGTTGTTGACGCGTTTCCAAAAACCTTAATGAGCCATTGTTGTTCGACCTTCAAAGACTCAAACAATTTTCGCAGTTCAGAACTTTTTTAATCGCATATTGTACACACTTTTGATATATAAAACATAAGGATGGGATCAGACACAATTCCACAAGATGAGACAAGATACGAGATTGGGTTCATGAGAACACAATTCCTAATACATACAGTTCACGATTCAGTTTCCGATTTTGTTCTATTTATTTGATTTAATATTTTTTTCCCTTTTAGTACAGTTTTTTGGAACTGTTAAAGACATGTAACTCCCAGCATGTAATCCTTTTTTGTCCAATCCAAATGTAAACACTCTCACAAGATAATTTTTCTCATGTATGCACGATCTTGTGGCAATTTTGTTTCACAAGATCTTGTGGCACGAGATCTTGTACCATCCCTAATAATACATTACACCACTGACACAATACAAGAGTTGTTCAATCTTCTGTAGAAATCACATTTTGTTGTTCGTTTACATAAGGCTCACTCTAAATCATTCATTGCTTCTTGCGCACTCCACTGACCATCAAGTTTACACTGGCTGGTTAATAATTGATCACCGCTTTCTTGTGAAATATTGTCAGCAAAACATACCTCCAAATAAGAAATTGTGTAATGTAATACCTACTAAAAATGAAAAGATTCCATGCTCAGAGTATAGTGTTTTAGCGTTATTAGCTGCCTGTGAAAGCTAAGGGGAACACTGCAGGGATAAATGTTTAATTTATAGTGGTTTTTATAGCAGTTGGCTTGAAAATCTCCAAAAGCCTCCAAAATTTTAATCAAGAATCTCAGTGAGCAATTTGTAGTGATATATGTAGACTTGGGATACATTTCTCTGGGACAATAATAATATGATTGCAGTAAATAAAAGGCAGTAGAGAGGAGAGAAGATGACTAAGTAGATCTGTGTTGAACTATGGTTAATGAGCCCGATATTTTTATCCTCAAAGGGAAGGTTGGGAGCACAAGCAGCGTTCAGTCTGTCATGTGGGTTAAGTACTGAGCTTGTTGTAATTTGTTTTAAATGTGGCTAATTTTGTGTTCTGAATTTGAAGATAACCTTGGGGATCTCTAGCCCTATTCAGATCTTGTTTTTCATTTGAACCTGTAGCTTTTTGGCAAGATTATAAAAGTCTTGACTAATTTGGTTCATACCCTTTATTTACCTTTTTTTTTTTCGCAAACAGTATTTAATTGCTTTAGAAGACATAATTTTCTACATGCATAGATCTTTCAGTTACATTTTGTTCTTTGCAAATTGCCATATTGATCTAAAATTACCTCATGGAAACATGTTCACCAAGCCCTGTCATAGTAACCCTTAGAAAATATAGATAATACTGAAACTAATTTATGCCAAAAAAAATTCTAAATGTACAATATGGATAAAAAACACAAACTCCGAAATAATAAATAGCAGAATGAGACACTTAGTACGTAGTTTGTATCTATAATGGGTCTTATTTATACAACCCTCTACAGAAACAATAGAAAAATGAAAAAAGTACCCACAATAAATATTGACTCAAAAAATGATTGTTCCAGCTAACATATTGAACAATAAGTCGATATAGTAATTATCCTGACAGGCCTAGGCCCGCTGACTTCCTGCCCAAATTTACAGAATTGATTCTTGTCTGTGTTATGTGTTACAACACTGAGCAATACCTGTTGGACCATGTGTGGTTGTATTTCACAGTCGCATGCAGTACATTTTTATGTGATGTATTTTTCTTGTATTTTAATGGGATCCCAAAACATAGATTGAATATAATGTGGCTAATTGGTTCAGTTTGATTTTCTTTGAAATAAGTGTCTAGCAAGGTCACAGCTTTGAACCAAAAGTTTCTACGCTTTTGAAAGCTTAGCTGAAGTTAATATTTAATGTTGTGTCTTCTTTGAATACTCTTTTTTTTTTTTAAGTAAAAGATTTTATCAAGAAAGTTCACTGTGCATCACCAAATTATAACTTATAATATAATTAATTTGCTCAGAAGAAGTCACCATGTATAGGAATGAAAGCAAACTCATCACACTTACATAAGCTAGCTGCTGGTCATATGTTGTTCAAAGTGGTATACATTAGGGATGTAATAATAACCAAAATAAAGAGAGACATACTTATCGTATTGTGATATCTTATTGTCAAAATATTAAAAATACTGTTACGTCTCACAGATATATCTATATCTATATTTATATCTATACCTATATACATATACATATACATACATACATACAAACATATATGCAGTGTTTTTCACTTCAAAGTATTAAAAAAGTAGGAATTACATAGGCTGTGATCTTTTGCTTTATTTCAGTGCAGACTACATGAGAAAATAACTGTTCTTACGGACTTTTGATTGACTCTTAATTCTTTGGATTATGACACTAATGATTCACACTGAAGTCTTTTGAAGTTATTTAAAAGGGAAAAGTAGCATATTGAAACTCCAAACTATTGCAATAAATATCATTCTGTAAGATGCAGATCATGATAATATTGTACCATGAGATTAGATATCGTCACATCCCCAGTATTCATGACTTAATATTGAATTGATGGTGATGAAACCTATTGGGAAAGTGGACATAAGAATAAGATGATATGAATGAGTAATACCACTGTTTTTGGTATCATTATGATACCAAGTACTTTGAGGGTCATTTTTCCAATACGGATACTGACACTGGATACCCTAAACAACATTGACTGATAGCTTGCCTTAAAATGTCCACTATATTTCTGAACACAACTGAAAAGTATGTTTTTATTATTGTCTGAGACCTGCAGAAAAGACTGATGATTTATTTTTTAAAACATCCGTAGTTGGAGCAATCAAAAATGTAACAACAAATAAACAAATAAAACCAGCTAGAATAAAAAGATTGAATCAATTGTTTCTGTTCTGTTTCTGTTGAACACTATTCAGAACAATTCTTGATCAAAATCAATACATTTATTAGCTCTCAAAATATGCATGGAACACTTTTTACTGTTTAAGTACGGTTTTAAACATACTTACAATACTTTTACTTTTACGTCAATTTTAAGTCAATTTGTTCATGTGATACTTTTGCTTTTACTTAAGTATATTTTGCTCTGTATCTGTACTTTTACTTAAGTGACACAATTTAGTACTTCTTCCACCACTGTTGATATTAGGATAACAGTACCAATATCCAAATTTGTACTGAGTCAGAATTGATATCCAACCCTTAACCAGCGTATCAATATATATATATATACGTATATAGATATTCAATATAATGAATGGGTTGGAACAGCTGGTTGAGCATATTTGTTTAAAGCTGAATGTAGACATTGTGTAGCTGGACCATGTAGAAGCTAATGTAAGGCCAGCCATTACCTATTTTATTGCAAGATCTATAGAAGGGGTCATTAAGATTTTTACAGCATTGCTACTCTTAGTGATACTGCTTTACATCTGGTCTTTAAACTGTGCCATTATTAAACCTTTTTCTTTTTTTTTCTTCAGCATAGTTATATTTATTAAACAAGAATAGCTCTATTTCGAAACATTTGGGAACATGTTGTATAAAGTCGTGGTGAAATCCTTTCTTAGAATTTCTGCAGTACAAATTTGACTACGTGACAGTTGTACAATAGTTATCCAGAGTGAAGATTACTGGTCGTGTAGCTACATTACTTTAATAATTTCTGGTATTTGGAAGCCATTTTAAGAAAACTTTCTGGGTCACACTTTTGGTAACATGATTTTAAGGTGCACTGTGTAACTTTACTGGTGGAGGTACGCTACTGGCTTGTCTCCATGTAGATGTTATTGCTTTGCTGGGAATGTTCTACAGTATTGCATACAATTTATTTTGAAAAGGTGAAAAACATGCATTCTTACTGTAAGCGGGATTGTCATTTCACTGATCTGACCTGTAAATAATTAATATTAGTGTAATACCATACTGTGTGACATTCTGAGCAACATTTCCACTGAGACAAGCAGGTGACGGACACCCCACCAGAAAAGTTACTCAGTGCACCTTTAAGCTTAAGCCAGTTCCAAACCAAACACCCTTTTACACAGATTAAGGGAAGAAGCATATCTTGTCTATATTCCCAAACATGATTTACAAAACCCTATTAAGCCTGGCCTCTCTCTCTCTTTTTTTGCTGTGAGATGTGTTACTTATTGGAGAACACTGTGGAACATTGCTGGGGTTTATTTAAGAGCAAGGGCTGCTGTTGGCTGATAGAATTGGATGAAGTATTTGACAGAAAGTCCATTAAAAGAGATGGAGCTGTGAGGCAATTACGGAGTGCTGAGGAAAGCAGGATCAGGGGGTATGCATTGAGAGAGGGGGGGGCTTTTATATTATACTTGAGACGCGGCAGAGGGAAAATTAGAAGAAACCCATCTTCCGCCACAACAGTAGATATTGGTACAACAAGTGGTCTACACTTAACCACAAGAATGAAGGATCTCTATGGGGATGCTGTTTATGGAGAAAGCTGTTGTATGATGGCCCCTAAGAGGACACTTAACGGGTCATGAAGGCATATCTCTTAATACCTTGTGGAATCACTTGTGGATATAGAAACCAGTTATATTGGGAGATTTCTAGCCTCATAAAAAGGAGATAGTCTTCAATCTCATGGTCTACTGCCACCCACCAATGACATGCATGCTGTTCTATTCGCCAGGGATCTAGTCAATTCAAATTGTCCATATTGAATCATTACACCATCTTATTATATGAAAGTGAGTGTCTTTCATTATAAGATATTTTATTGTCAGGTAACTGGCCATTATTCTGATTCAGGATTTTACTGATGCCAGGTGCCAGAAACATTAAGAAAAAAAATAAATACATTTTAATATGTTATGCAAAATTGACTCTTGTAAGATTTAAGCCATGTTAAAATGTTTTTACCACATCAAAAATATACCCGGAGTAGTGTTTTGTTTAATTTATTCATGTTTGAGTAACCTTGTATCTAAGTCTCTAAACATCTCCAAAGCTCAAAATGTTCTGTTCACCCTGTGATGTCATGAAGCGGTAGTTTTCAAGTGAACAACTACCTTTTACCTTTTGTTCAGCAGAGATTGGCAATTCCAGATCTGAAATTATCCAAATGATTCTAGTGAAGATGTATGGAGTTTAAAAACACAGTGTAGCACTTTCTGTATTACCACATGACATCACAAGGAAGTACAGAGTTTTTTTTTCCTTTGAGAGAAGATCTCAGCCTAAATATGCAAGGTTTGTGTATTAAACATGTGTGAATGAAACACAACTTCAGGTATGTTTGTAATGAGGAAACAAAATTATAACAAAGATCAGAACAGCGTAATTTGCTCTTTACGACCAAGAATAAAAACACTCAAGTTGTACTTGTATTATTTGTTATTGCTTAAGGATTATACTTGAGAAGGAATTAAATATCTGTGTTGACTTTTCAGTTGAGTATCTGTGCCTCCACAGCAGAGGAGATACTAACTGGTATACTAGTGTATGAATTTGTAACTAACACATTTGTTTTATTCAGTGTTCACCTGTTGTTTACTGCTTAATGTTGGTCATGTGATGTCATGTTATATCATGAAGGTCTTAAACTAGATATGAAATATGCAAACACATATGTAAATTCTGAGGTATAAAGCATGTATATGTCTGAGACACAAAGCATGTTTAATGAAAATGTGCTTATGTAATCCCATCAATAAGACAGTACTGTGTCTATAAGTAGAAAGAGCTGTTTCTGACGTGTTTGTGTTCACAGGTCCAAACTGGGCTTGGATATAAAGAACAGGGAATGATCCACCTGGAAATCAGCGTCACAGAAGGAAGTGAGTAATAATAGAGTTCCCATGGCAATGTAATAAAAGACATGAATTATATGATGTTAGCTAACCTTTTGTGATGTATATATAGCTGTCCACTCCAAAGAGCACACGCCTATTATAGAGTGTACCTTCCCTGCCAAACTGATCTGTGACTGTCTAATTTTAATTCTTAAAATAGGTGAAAGGTTGCAGTTTTTTTGCTCTACTTACAAAACCTTTAATCCCTGTCAGAAGGGCCACATGGAGATGCGTGGTATGATTAAGCTAATTCATTTTTGAAGGGCCTGGCCTGTATCTTGGCTCTTTTCTTGGCTGCAGTGGCAGCCGTGGAGCCCTGTGTGTTAATGCCCTGTCCCTGGGGGACGCTCTCATTTGGCTGATGCTAACGCACTGGGACAGCTCCTTCTTACTTTTACTATTAGTGGGAATCAAAATTGGCCTCCAAAACCCTTACCTCCCTGGTTCACATAATGCCAGCTGCATGCTCTGTGCCAGACCTTGATTATAAACCACAGAGGGTTGTTGGTCTGTATTTGTGGTGTTTTTTGTGCTTACTTCTTGCTTACCTACAGGGTCGCAGTACATAACTTGTAAACTCCAGAACTGCACCGATGGAAACAAGGGCAAGCCTTTCCCTGGATTTATCATCCCCAATTCTCTGGTGGTTCAGGATGAATACGTTTTCATCCAGGTGGGTTTTATTGCAAGGTCTGGCTTCATTAAAAGACAATTAAAAGCTGTAAAAGTACCGCATTCAATCGCATCTTAATCTAGTCATGTTTTTCATTAACTAAAAGGCCTTCATTATCCAGGGGAAAGGATACGATCCAATTGGAAGCCTCTGCATTGTGTATTGCACTTTCCTCCCATGCACCTAAATCCTCATTAGCACAGTTTTGATAGAGGCTTGATTCTCCCTGCCAACACACTGTGTACAGAGCCACTAAATATTTATCGGAGATGTGATGAACTACAAATTGCCCTTAATTGTTTTCCTAGGTGCCGATAGGGATCCAATCTGTCCATTATGTGTCCTATAAACGGAATGCTTTCTACCCAATGAAGCTTCCCAAGTACACGGTGCCAAAGGTAAGACGCTGGGAGGAGGTGAGAAAAGTAAGAGCTGCATTAAGTTTCAAACCAAACTCTTTTGTATAATTTATCCCTGCAGGCCATTCTGTGTTGTCATGATGACTTACTGGGATGGTTTTAGGAAGGGTCTTATGCAGTATTGTTTTCACCACAAATTCCTTAGTCATTTATTAGTCATAAAGTTTGTTAGCAAACATAAAAATATTTTTTACTCCTGCACTTCCGGCAAAGCTATAGACCAATCCTCATTTCTAGTAATAATAAACTGGGTGTAAAATACAGATGTGTAAAATCCAATGATCTATAAATCAGATTTTATATCAACCATTTTATATTTTACTACAAACACTTGGCTCGACATAAAAGACGTCTCAACCAAGTTCAGATATTGTACCTACAAAATAATAATATACCAGTAAACAATATATTGAAAACCCTGTTAAATAAGAACGTGACAAGTGCTTGTTTTTCACGATTTAGCCTGACCACAAATGTTGATTGCTAAAAGTGTAAGTGATCAGCATTATTTGCAATTATAATCCTAACTTAAAGATAACAAACATCTAACATCTATTGCCAATAAAGCCAACAGTTTTCCAGCTTCATGATGTGGCAACCCTATTTTTTTCTATTTATTTAAAATTGTATTTATTAAAGGTGCACTATGTAACTTTTGGTTGGGGTCCCTAACCTGCTTGTTTCTATGGATATGTCATTGCTCTTCCTGTAATGTTGGAACATTACAATATGTTTTTAAACTATTCAAAAAAGCCTACAGGCATTTTTGACTGTGAGTGGGGTTGCTTCTCCACAGATCTGACCTGTAACTTGATCTGGTTTGGTATCCATGTAGAAAAGGTTTATTGCCATACTGTGCACTATTCCAGACTAAGCAATAGCATCTCCCTGAAGAAAAGCATATGATAGGCACTCAAAGCACCTTTAAATAATATAATGTTCTCATTGTTTATGAAAACCATACATTCTCTGTTTTGTTATTGTCATTTAAACTAAAGACATTTTGCCTCTGGGACCAGGCTGTGCTGTTTGGTCCCAGTAGGTGCTAAAAGCTCAGCAGGGGCTCAGTGTCCTCACAGCCATGTCATAACAACAGGAGAATTTAAAGCCTGCTGCATCATTCAATCTATTTCCCCACATCAGTCTGCTCATCCATGCATCCATGTGTAGTGTCAATGCTCTCGTGAAGGACACATCTCCGCTACTCCCTGTCACTTTGGATAAGACTACACTGAGCTCGTCTTTATTTTTAGTGAGTGGCATAAAACGCCTTGGGGCTAATTGGGGATGATCCTGACTGAATAATGTCAAGAAGTGACAAGTCTCAACTCCCGTTTCTGTTTTGAAGTTTCAGTTGATACACTTCATGCAGTCATAAGCTGGGATTCCATCATTTTATTTTTATGCAGTTTATAGCTTCAGAAATGTAGAAACTGAGTATGTAAAACCATGATTTTAAGAAAGCGTCAGTATTACTCCATAAGGTAGTCAAAGGTAATGGTATATTGACCTCTCAAAATCCATCTGAGAGTGACTTTTCCCATTTTGGATCAGGCTTAGCTTCATAACACAGTCAAAATCTATATACATTTAAATTTCTAAGATGTATCTGTTTTTAGCATTATTAATTATTTCTAATACAATGTTTATCTTACTTCATCATTTCATATGACTGATCCTCATCTTCTTCTGTTGACAGTATGTTACAAAGAACATCCTTAAAGGTGCATTGTATAACTTTTCTGGTGAAGGGTCTGTCAAATACTTTTCTCCATGGATGTTATTGCTTTGTCTGGAACGTTTCACAGTATTGTTTAAACTGTTGTATCTTCATGGAGAACAAACCAGACCAAATTACAGGTCAGAGCTGTGGTGAGGCAACCCCAATTACAGTCAGAATGCCCTGTTTTTCTAGGACCCCCAACCAATAAGTTACATAGTGCACCTTTAATGCTTTATGAAAATTTGTGTAAAAATGTAATATAAATGTATTGTCCCCAAACAGAACAGTTTTCAATGTGTCCTTCATAGAGGTAAAAATGTAATAAACAAAACTTGTTTTTATTATGCTATTACAGAAGTGACATTTAGAAAAATATATTCTGTAAAATCCTTGCACTATTGAATAAAACTCCCAATGTGCCGCTAGGATACAACGGAATCATTTCACACTTACCTTTGTAGCTGTATGAATCTCCATATAAAAGTGTCGGTGTGCCCTCAGGACCTACAGATAATCAGCACTGATGATAACCAGGTCGTAGCGGCAATCCAGGACTGGCACCAGAACGACTCGTACCACCTGTACATGTCTGAGTCCAGGGGGCTGTTCTTCACACTCATGCTGGAGAGCGTGGTGAGCAGCGGAGGGCCCGAAGGCAACATCATGATAGACCTGTACGAGGTGAGTACACAAAGCTGCAGGCACGCTCTGTCAGACTAAAGAGGATTCATGCATTGGGTTTATACGACCTGGACTAGTGCAGGTTTACAGTGTTTCACAGCGGTATTTTTCTTGATTTTAAACTGTTGGTATGTCTGGAGGAGTTGTCAGATGTGCCAAAAAAACTTGATTGATTTACTGTCAATGCTATGCCTATTGAACGCCCGGGGCTAAAATCTGAACCAGATAAAATGTGAAAACGTTATCAAAACAACCACTGGCAAATCCAAAGAGCTACATAATATAACACAAATACTACTGGTGCAGTACATACATAAATAGTATAGTTGAATAACATTTGTAGTGGGTGGTGTGCCCCAGGATCTTTTCAATAAAAATAATGTGCTGTCATTCAAACAAGGTTGAAAACACTATATAAAACAGTCCAAAAGCTCAGTTAACATGGCAAATTTAGCTTTATTTTTTAATATAGTGCATTTAATATGTAGGTTTGCTATTCTGATGCACTAAGAGTTACCTAATATATGGCAATTTCCTGTTTTTTTAAGGACTACTCTGAACAAAGAAAGCAGCTTCTATCAACAAAAGCAAATCATTACAAGAAAAATTAAATGTGGGTTTGAAAGCATGTAGAAAGCTTCTCAAATCTTAGACATTTCTCATAATACATTTAAATGATAGGTTCACAATTACGAAAGAGTTAGCTACTACATTTAGATGACAATTTTCTGAGTGAATATGAGTTTTTGAAGGACAACTCTGAACAATGAAAGCAGAAACAAAATACATACAGAGGTGGAAAACATTTTTTATTGAAGATATAGTAGACTGACTTGGACCTAAAATGTGAAATTATTCTGGTTTAGCTGTAAATTATCTTCATTAATATATATAATTATTCATATTTTAAATTGAAAAGTGTACTCAGTGCACTCCTGAATAGCAGGCACTTAAACCTGTATAGCTCTGTAGTAAGTGCTGTTTCTAGCAGGGAACCATTTGCTCTTTGAGTGGGTACAATAAGTATCTTTGTCTCATATTTCAAATGTATAGAATCACAGAACCTTGAATTTATATCTAAGCAAAATACTTTCTTTTATTCCAGCATTGGCCCATTTCGGTACACTCAGTACACTTTTTAGGGATAACAAGCATATATTCATTATTTACGGTTCTTTTGTTTAACAGTATTTTGAGGCTGACTTAATAATACACAGTGCTGTATATTCCTCCTCTCATTTGCTGTATTTTTTTTTATATTTGACACTGCATTGGGCAAAGCTGTCCCCCTACATATCATCAAGGGAGAACAGTGATATACAGGCAGAGTGCTTTGTGCTGTTGTGGAGTGGAGGCCATTATTTTATTTCTAATGGAAATCCCACACATGCCTTCAACCACTCAAGGTGGTTCTATTACTGAGCTGTTAAGTTGTAGGAACAAGAATAATTGGAAGGTGCGGAGAACATATTGTGCCCCATGACATACTGCATGAAGTGTTTCTAATTTTGTCTGGGGTTATTTTAAAACTATTTATTTCGAGTGGGGGTGTGGAGATTTCAGTGGAGATTTCAGCCTCTTAAGTAATCAGAGGAAGCATTCTACAAATTGATTAATATTGACGTTAAAAATTTAAAGATAGTTTCATTTCAAACTATTTTAAATGTGAACTCATTTGACCATTTATATCTGGTCATGTATTATAGGAATTATGCACTAACCTCAACGATGCCCAGATTCAAGTAATTTCAATTATTACAAGTTGTAACAGAAGTATTTCTTAAGTTTATTTCATCAGTTGATTCTATGTCACTGCCACTGCTTTTGTTTCGAGCATGCCCTTGGCTTTCAGAGAATTATTGTATTTTGTTCTCAAAACTCTGATCTTTTTGTTCAGCGGCAATGTTTCTTGTGTCTTAACTATGAAGTACTGTACTGATGGTAAAGATGAGTTGTGTGTATGTGTATGTGTGGGATACCAGGCCCTTAAAACCACAGAATGTAACTTTTTATTTTTTTATTTTATTTTTTAGCTAAAAATAGACTAAAATTAAAGTATGCATTTTTTATTTTTTTTTTTGGTTGTGATTATTAAATAATTTAGGAAAACATGTATCCTTGCTAAATCTGAAGGAGGCCCTTCTACTGTTAGTTTCCACAGAAATGTTGTTCTTTTTGCTAAAATCTTCTGCAGTATGACATAAAAATAATCTATCGCCATGGAACATAGTACAACAACAAGTATTGTTTTAACTTTCTGTTTTCCTTTCAAGTCACTTACTGTACCTTTAATTAACTTTCATGCATATTGTTTTTTTGATTACCATTGCTCAAGCTGTTTAAACTTCTTACCTAATTTTGTGTGGTTATAAAACAGAAAAAAGCTTGGGCTAACAGATTGTATACAGTATCTGTATTAGCAGCAGTGTTGTTCTAATCAAAGTTTTAGTACTTACAACTTGCTAAAACTGTCTTAATGTTCAACCTTCGCAGTTAACATCCATTTTACAACAGTCTGTCTCTGCTGTTTACAATTGCACATAATAAATAGGCCCATTCCATCTTATTGCAGATCATAGAATTTCACGTCATTATGGCCAGTGTTTGTGAAATTACATCAGCCTGTTGTCGGTGAACTTTGTCTCTGAAACCAATTCGCAAGCTTGTTTCATCACTTACCAAACAAACACTTCTCCAAAAAAGGCTTACCTTCATTTTCGCTTTACTTTTAGACAATATTTTCAGTTGGAGATGACTTTTAAACACGCATAAAACCCCATTCTGAAACGACGTGCTCAGATGTGCCCACTGTGAGAGAGCATATGCCGGAACATTACCTTTTATTCAGGCTCCTCTAAGTGTTTCACATATCACTTTTCTGCCCGTGCCTTATTCCCTCCCTCTTTTATACGTGACATTGAACGAGGACAGCGCAGATGCCTTTTACAACACAAAACACCCATTGTGTCCTATCCCGCACCTGACAATCTAACAGCCAGTGGTGGATGAAGTACTCAATTTTGTTACTTAAAGTTGCATTATGTTACTTTGGTTTGGTTGGGGGTCCATTACCTGCTTGTTTCTATGGACATGTTATTGCCCTGCCTGGAATGTTTCATACAAACTTATATTTATTCAATTACCGGTGGTTTTATAGCTCAAAAATACCTAGAAAAACAGGCATTCTGGCAATGCCTTTCCACAGATCTGACCCATAACTTGGTCTGGTTTGGTGTCCATGATGATAGAAAGGTTTAATACCATACTGTGAAACATTCCAGACAAAGCGACTCCATGGAGAAAAACATTTGACGGGCCCTCCACCAGAAAAGTTACACAATGCACCTTTAAAGGGGCACTGCGCAACTTTTATGGTGGACGGTCTGTTATTCTACTTGTCTCCATGGATATGTCATTGCTTTGCCTGGAATGCTCCATTGTATGACATTTAACATTTCCATCTTGCATTTATTCGTTACAGGTGCTTCTATTGCTCAAAAATACAATAATTCCTTCTGTGAATGGGGCGACTCTCCATAGATCTGAATTGTAATCTAGCATAGTGCTGTAACCTGCTTTTCCCTTGTGATAGATATACTGTGGGACATTCTAGATAAACCAATAACATTTCCATGGACATAAGCACGTAACAGACCCCTCACTAGAAATGTTACACAGTGCAGCTTTAGGTAAAGTACAGATACCTGAAATTTGTACTTAAGTATTGTACTTTTTTACTTCATTACCTTTCACCAACAGCACCAACACCATGAACTCGTGGTTGGAACATGTAACCTAATGTGTTTCGCTGAGCAGTTGGAATTAAATCACCTTCACGCTGTAGCAAAAGCCCAATGTTGTTATCCAGGATATAGCCATCAGCCGCATTTCTCCAACACTCATTTTGTGCACGCTATACTCTGCCTCGACAGCTGACCGGCTCAAATTTAAATTGTCCTACCGCTGGAAAAAATAAAACAGGGGAGAGTTGAGGTGAGAGCCAACACGTGAGGCCATTCTGGGTGCACAAAAAGTTAAAATGTCCCAGAGCGGCACCATATGTTGTTTTGATACTACAGTTCTATACAGATGGTCCAAAATAGCTTTCACTGTCAGATATCGCTTTTCCACTCTTCGAACTAGGCCCTCAGCTTAACTTTAGTTTGAATAATTTAGCTTCTGTTTTCTTCTCCCTGTGGTTGTGTCTCCTCAGCACTTCTCTGTTCACTCTCATATCTGCAGGTAGCTGGGATTAAAGGGGTGTTCCTGTCGAATAAGATTGTAGAGAACCAAGTGAAAACGTATATCACCTACAACAAGGGGAGAGACTGGCGGCTTCTGCAGGCGCCAACCACCGATCTCCAGGGAAACAAGGTCTATTGTGAACAGGTAAGTGGGCCACTGTTGGAGGCAGGCACTGGTAATTCAAACCAGAGCTGTAAAAAGAAGCGCTGTTCCTAATCACCTCCATTACATAACTGCTTGTGCTCATAAAATGTCACATAGACTAGACCACACTGGACTGGGACTCATGGAGTTTAATAATAGTGGGGCTTGAAAGGAGAAAAACACTTTTTATAACCTACTGATAACTTCATGAAAGAATGTTCTTTGCAGTTGAAAAAGTATGGAAAGCCTGTGCTGAACCTTTTAGAATACCACAGTATTGTTTTACACAGCAGGGCTCTGTATGTGGTATTTATAGTGATATTGCCGAGGCACAGGAATATGAAGGAACCAATATTTTTGGAATAATAAGAAAGGATTTTGGGAGATTCACCAAATTCCCATTGCTGTAAAAATCTATAGCTTGGAACTTAAGTTGCTGAGACGGAGCGATATGAGTTGGGCAGAGTTGACAGCTGAGAGACCTCTTTGCAGTGCACAGCAGCAGAAATGAAACTACGCTTTTGCCCTGAAGAGCAAGTCTTAACATTGTCACAAGTCCACAAGTCATTGTGAAACTTTTGTTTTTGTGACCATGCTGTTTCATATTAGAATACATAACTCTGTTGTCCTTTCCTGTCATCAGTGACTTTCTTTAGGCTGACTATCATCAGCACACATGATTGAACTGAACTCATATGTGTTTCTGTGTGACATCTTTGTACGAGAGCTTTGGGCACTGACTTTATCTGTCTGACATGCACGTGTGCTCACAGTACATCCGTGTGAGAATGGTGTAACACACCAGACCCAAACACTAAGACTCTGCTGCTGTCTGTGACCTGTGAAGTACAAGTTACAGATTACTGTGGGGGAACTGAAACTGCATTTGAGTATTTGTTGTACACAGTCTTACTATTTCATTAACTTTTATTGTGACTTTGACTGTCTTATGCTTGTGATGATGCTGAAATACATTAACATAAAAACACTCTTCTATACAGGCTTCAGCATAAGAATTATTCTTTGCTTCTGACAGAACGTGATTTGTCACTTAACAAATATGTCATCTTTATGTGCATATAATTAACACAATTAACAACTGCTTCTCATTAATTGCCAGTTCTAATTATAAAAAGCAGTCATGTCCATGTGACTGGCTGATTAATCATGTAAAAACAACCTCACATTTGAACAGCGTGGATTGCGCTCAGAATGAGCAGACAATCTATTTTTGCTAACAGTTTGCATCTGTGGTGCGCGTGTGATGTTGCCTCTCTATGATCCTTTTGTCTAATCTCCTTTGTGCCATTGTTCCACAGCCTTACTGCTCCTTACATCTGCACCTCCACGTCTCAGAGAATCCTTACACCTCTGGAAATATCGTCAGCAAAGACACAGCTCCGGGAATTATCATAGCATCAGGTGAAAAGATGGTAGCACTGCGTCAATAATCTTGTTTATCTCCAAATGCAAGTTGTAAGAGATTTGAGCCTTACTTGCCTAATTGTAAAAGACAGTCCACCTTGAAAAGCCTCGAGGTGTAATTCATTTTCGTGATGCTGGTTGAGTAATGCTGTTGTTGTGTTTTCTTAGGGGTGATTGGACCAGAACTGACCAGTACTAATGTTAGTGTATTCATCACGTCAGATGCGGGGAACACATGGAGAGAGGTAAAAAACTAAATGTCAAAATGCACATTTATAGCCATTACAAAAGATTTTGGCTGTGTATCATAATATTGCAGAACAGTTGCAGTGAAAAGCGAACAATGTCACTGATATGATATGTCCCACAATATGGCATTAAACTATCTTCATGGTTACAAGCAGGTGATTCTACCAGGCCAAGTTACAGATCAGATCTGTAGAGAGGTGAGCCGTGCAAGTAGGTGACAAACTCCAGAAATGTTACAAATCGCACTGAAAAAGCAGTTATATAATTTTTATTATAATTTACACTGTCTACAAGAAATAATTTGATTTCATTTTGTTGTTTTTAGCAATACAAAAACAGAATAAATTACAAACTCGAACAGAATATTATTTTTTAAAAAGTCATCTGTTCAGTATTCCCCCTGACCCACTGCTTTTGAATTAGTGATATTTGGTCCAAAATGAATGAATGCTATCTACTCAGTTTTCTTTGCAAAGAGTGTGTTTGACTTGTATGGCTAAAGAAACACACAACATGGATTTCTCTACTGAATATTAAAGACTAAAACCTTCTCTTCTGCTGCTTTAAGAAACAGTCAACACTTGTACAAATATAGCCCCGTGTTATGTGACAATTTGTATTTCTCAGTTTCAAAGTGTTGCTGCTGCGAACACATTGCGGTTGACACAGAAAAAGCACTAAGGCCCGACACCCAGCTATGTGTGAGACATGTATATGTGCATAGTTATCTGCACAGAAGCCAAACAAAGAAGCCTATGGCTCTCAAGATAACAAAGAGGAAGGGTTTGAAGGGAAAATGGAGGCCTTGACTTGTTTACCGTACTATTCTGAATAATTCTGAAGCTGATTTTGAAGAAAATTGATTTTAACAAAAATATTGACATGTCTGCGATATCTGAAATAATTTCAAAGGCAGTTCTCCCTCGTGCTGTCTTAAAAACTCACTTTGAATCAGATATGCACTAGCTTTTCCAATTTTATCCTTTGAGGTAAACCTGATCATTTGTTTCAGATATCACATGTCTTAAAAGGGGCACTGTACTTTTCTGGTGTGAAGTCCGCAATCTGCTTGTCTCCACGGAGAGTGGTTTTGCCTGTTATAATCCACAGTATGTCATTAAACTATCTGTATGGCATTAAACTATCTTCTAAACTAGTATGGCATTAAACTATCTTCTGTTTTTTATTAATAGAATTTACCTTGAAAGCATTCTTAGTTTCCACAGATCTCACCGATAACCTGGCTAAATCTGTAATGTACACAAATGTAATTACTCCCCACAAATGCAGTATCTAAATGAAACATAGCAAAGGAGAAATTCAGTTCTGTCAACTGGTCAAAAGTTTTTTGTTAAAAAGTTTTTTGCTAAATATTTATTTGTTTATTTAACAGGGACAATGTATGTTAACCTTTCTTTAAAAGCAATTTACTATTATAATGCGGACATCATCCAAAAAAAAAAAAAATCTGGTTATAAGTGGTATTAGAGGATGAAAAGGTCATACTATAAATGTAATAAAAAGAGGACTTATGTGAAGTCAGATGTGCACCGAGTGATATATATGAGGTGATAATCCATGTGGTTTGGCTCGAAGTTCAGATGTTACATTTGATTCCTTTTTCTGTAAAATCTGCGTGAGATTTATTTTATCTTATTATTACAGAAAATAAATATTTACTTTATGTGTCATATCTATGCATTTATGTTCTCTATGCATGTTCTATGTAATACTGTCTGAATAAACATTAAATAATAATAATAATAATAATAATAATAATTTATTTTATTAATTGTTTTGATTTCAAGGTCCTGTAGGGATTCTTGAGCTTTTATAACACTGTTACCTCATTAAACAAAGTTGTGTTTTGTTTCATTTGCATATGTTTATGTAATCCTGGATTATTAATCTGTTTACATCTCCAAAACACAAAATGAATGAGTTCACAAGATAGAGTGTTTTCTGTTTGAGAGAAGAACTCAGCCTAAATATGCACGCTTTGTGTGTTAAACGTGTGAATGAGACAACACAAAACTCCAGGTATGTTTTTGATGAAGAAACACAGAAAGATTGTAGCATAGATCAGAGAATAGTTTAATATAAGCCCTTTAACTCTGGTATATTCCAAAGTGTCCCAAATAAGCGTATGTTTTCTGTGTTGACTGCAGGTTTTTCAGGAAGAGTACAGTGTGTTTTTCTTGAACCAAGGGGGATCTCTGGTAGCCATCCGCCACACACCTCTCCCAATTAGGCACATTTGGTAAGGCTCTCCAAGGATTTTTATAACACGCTCAGTCTTCACAACTAAAAAAAAGTCAGACTTGCTTCTCTGCTGAAGCTCATGAGTCTATTTCTTCTCTCTGCGATCCAACCATTGTTCTCTCCCCCAGGCTGAGTTTTGATGAGGGCAGAAACTGGGACAAATATAGCTTCACCTCGTCCCTGCTCTATGTTGATGGGGTGCTAGGGGAGCCTGGAGAGGACACCCTTATAATGACGTAAGAAGCAACTGCAGATATGTATATGTGTGCAGATTTGTATGTTTGTGAATGGCTACATTATTTATGATTTATGGCTCTGATGAGGATCTGAAAGTGCATGGAAATGAATGCAAGGTTGAAAGTGTTGATGATTGCAGTATACTTAGAATACATCAAAATGTTGAAGAGAGAGAAATAATAAGTAGTGAAACAAAAACAAAAAAATCACTATATTTAGTTTAAATAAAAGGGCAATATTTAGCCTTAATGCTTTAGCTTTAATGGCTGAGCAGTGGAAGAGTTTTTAGCCTGTTATATTTTTTTAGGGCCAAAGCTCATTTATGGAAGACTCAGGCAAATTGAAAACCTCTTCTATGACCAAATACAATTGATACTCCAGTCTTTTAGCTCTTTAAAATTCATTAGTTTCATGGCTTGTTAGCCTACACTTGTGAGTGAGCCAGGCTGTACCACACCTATGGTCCAAAGTTCTAGGTTAGTCTCCAATTAATTATCTGACATTATTTGCGTTTGCAATAATTTCTGGAATACAATTAAAATAAGACTTTCTTCTATCTTGGGAAATTTTTTGTGAAATGTAGCTAAGTCCTAATAATATTACTTGCAGTTTGTTGCCCCAAGTGTTGTTGCCAATTACTTAGCTAATTATAAGCTATAATTTTCAAATGTTAATATGTGAATTTTATTAGATTTTTTACTCTCTTCTCAACTTTTTTGGAATAGGGCCTACATCTCGATGTATTTATGTGAATAAAAGGATCTCTTGTCACTGTCAGTTTTTCTATTTTATCTGTGCTGTGCAGAATCTTCGGCCATTTCAGTCATCGATCCGAGTGGCAGCTTGTCAAAGTGGACTTCCGGTCAATCTTTATGCACCGCTGCACCTCTGATGACTACACCATGTGGCAAGTACACGACCAAGTAAGGGATGCCATTTTAAAACTGAATGTTTAAGTGCATGATTAGGCTTTAAAATGTTCAAATTCTGTCACACAATCATGCAAAACAAGCTACACAAGGAAATACAGAGGCTTTGAAATGCCTCTGATGGATTATTCATTACAGGGCCAAGCGTGCATCATGGGAATGAAGAGGGGTTTCCAAAAACTGAAAGCGAACGCTCGATGTGTCAAGGCCAGAGATCAGTACGTGCCTCAGAAGTCGGACTCCTGCCCGTGCACAGAGGCCGACTTTGAGTGGTGAGTTCCCCGCTCCGAGGCAAGTCTTTTCCCTTCATTAAACCCATTGCCCAAACACTTTAGCAGCATCTCCAGAGGCAAACTGTGAAGCCAACGAGGGCACAACGAGAGGGCATGTCCTCAATCACTTCCCTATCTGTCCTGTTTGTCCTCCTGTAAGAGTTTGTTATGGCAAGAACTACATCAAATATTGTTCTATACAAATACGAGGGCATAGACTTGATGGAAAGGAATGCTGTAGAGTCATGAAAAGCTAATAAGATTATGCTGGTGAACTGTGTATGTCTTATTAGCGGCCTTGTTTGAAGAAACAATTACACATAGCTGATGATTGAAATGCTGCTATTAAACCTGACAGTTTGAACCCTGCTTCTGACTGGACATTCTTCTGTTGTGTCCTTGGGCAAAATTCACTACTCAATTTGTCTTGATTTAAGAGGAAATGCTTGATACAACACTGTATTGAAAGCCGCTATGTAAAACAAGCCAGCCTGCTAATAAGACTATTAACTTTGTCTACTCTGGGTTCTTTTCTCAAGCTCTGTAGTTCCAATGGGCAGGAATGACCTGGATTTAAAAGTCTGAGAAATGCATGTTCCCTGCTTTGCCAAAGTAAAATGATGCTAAAAATATGCTTATATGAAACATTTTTAAAACAAGAGTAATGATAATCGCACAAGGGACTGGTGGCATTGGTTGTCCACATACTTGAATAGTAATGCATTGGATTTATGTAACGCTTTTTTGGACACTCAAAGACACTTACAGTACATTTTTCATTCACTACACACTCGGTGGTGGTAAGTTACCCTGCCCTGGGGCAGACTGGCAGAAGTGAGGCAGTCAGTCTGTACCATCTTCCCCTCCAACCACCACCAACACTCACACACACACCACTTTCATTCTAGGCAGTGTGGGTGAAGTGTCTTGCCTGAGGACACAATGACATTTTTTTTTTTTTTGCCACTGGCCCACCACTGTGGCACCTGATTTTCCCAGTGATCTTCCATCCAGTTACTTACCAGGCCTAGGCTTGCTTTGTTTTTGAGACAATCAGTATGGCCACAACTACTACATAACTTTACTTTAAAGGAGTAAAATGACTGTTCCTTTCTTCAAATAGTAGGAGGACCAGTAGATGCAAATGTAAGACATGACCTCATCTTCCATTGCTGCACTCCTGTTACAGGTCATAGGTGGTTGGACATAACCCCAAATCTATGCTAATGCCATAAGGATGACAGAGATACAGCACACAGTCAGCTTTCACACATTCATGTATTCACCATGGGCAAGTTAGATTCACCAATCCATACATGCATGAACTCAGATGATGCAAGATGTAGCAGAAGAAATCCACTGCAACACGGAGAGGAACTGCTAGTCAGCTTGCCCATGAACTACTGCCACTGAAGTCCATAAAAATACATGACGGAAGTATAGCATGTGTGCTCCTATAGGTCAGACATGTACTATGGCTGACTTGGTAACATCTGTCAGTCCCAGTCTGCCATTTCTACAGGACTAAGGTCAGCTGCACATGTCCATACAAAAACATAACAGTCTTCTTCCATTACCATCCCCAGCTGGAGGAGTTATGGTCTTGCAGCATGAGGCTACATTCTGAGAGGAAGTTGATGGACATCTTGACATTTTTCTCTAGGGTTTTAATAATTCAGACCTCCACACTCCCTCCAGCAATGGCAGCACACAGAGCGTCTCATAGCCACTGCCGAAGCTGGTCCACAGATGGGATGGACTCTTATGTAGAGCTGATCTGTGTGGTCAATGCCAAACACAAAGCTACAAACTTTTTTTCAACTTTTTGGACTCCGCCACCCACAAAACCATCGCCTAGCAGACCGTCCACATGGCATTTAGCAAAGACCAGCAGTGATGTTCTTTTTCGGGAGAAGAATAGAGCTGAACTTCTTGCAACTCAGCAATCTGCACTGTTGATGTCGAAAGTTTTGACTTCACAGACTTGATATTCTATTATTGGCATCTGCAAACTTCAGAAACTCATTCAAAAATGTAAAGTCTTCAGTAACTCATTTTGGGTCTTTTTATTGGATCAATAAAGCACAGTGATTGAATTAATCTTAGCCAATCAATTTGTATAAAAAAGAGAATATATTTTATCTTCCTTTCATCAAATTGAATTGGGTAAATTGCAATGGCTTGGGTTGTTTCATTAAATGTTAGTTTTGGCATTGTGGCTTAACATTATTTGATATAGATATACAGATTTTACAGGTTTTGTGTGTGATATATATATATATATATATATATATATATATATATGGATTTTTTTTTTCTTTTGTGTTGTCATGTCACTAACATTTCAAACTTGATTCCTATAATAAGGAATAGGCTTAAAGGTCCTGTACCAATTTTTTTCCCATGCATTTCAGCAAAGTTTTTTTTTACAGATAGCTCTTTAGGTCTGAATATATCTGCTGTTTGTTGTCTGCATCTAATTAGAAAGCATTTTATTGTCAGATAATCAGGAAGTGCATATTAGAATGGTAGTTGTTATTAGATTTACTGTCACGAGAACACACCACTCTGGTCGCTGAGAGTTGTGAAAACCACTTATAAAGTCATGAATAATTTGTGAATATTTTGGATGCTCGTAATGCATAATGTAATACATGAGGAATAACACTGGACTGCTGCAAACGGTTAAAACTGAACTATTTTTCATGTTTTTAAGATTTTAAAAAATCAGATACACAGCTTTTAATACTTTATACCAAGCCACAATAATAATAATAAAAAATGTTTTTTTTTTTAGACAATAGAGTGTAATTGTTAACACAAAATAATAGTACTATCTTTATGTTACCATGTGGTTTTATACTAAACTTGATAAAGATAAGAAAAAATCTAGTTTTTTTTATCTATTGATACTTTTTTAAATGAGTATCTAGTCCCAATAGTAGTTTGCGACTTTATTGATGCACAAGGGAAATTATTTGAACACAGTAGCTCTCTCATCACAATACAATATAGTAACAAAGAGCAAATATATAAATGGTAATAATTTCAAAATAAGAAGCAAAAATAGCAAGAGACTGGATATAGAACTGGTTTTAGTATAGATTATTTTCTGATTTTTGATTCTCCTAGATGAGTTATAGAAATGAGTATTCTCACTGTCTGTTTTTGATCTGAAACAGTGACTACGGGTTTGAGAGACACTCGGATGGCAGCTGCACACCATCGTTCTGGTTCATTCCTTCAGCCACGTCCAGAGACTGCATCACTGGGGACACTTTCCTCAACACTACGGGGTATGACAGATCTGTGAGCAGCCATGTGGAAAAAAAAAGTCTTGAATTTACACTTACAGCTACTGAAACAATCAACGCTATAAAAACAGTGGTGGAAGTACTTGATTTTGATACCTAAAAAGAAAAAGTCATTCATGCAGATTTTTAGATTTAATAAAACTTCAAATTTAGAGATATTGATAAAGATTTGTGCTGAATTTTGTTTAATAGAAACAAATGAATCAATAGTTTTTTGTAGCTGTTTTTATTTGTATATTTTAGTTTGCACAAACTGTGAACATGTTAAAAATAAACCGCTCAGGCTTTTCAGCAGGTCTCACAATAATAAAAAAAATATTTTTACTTTTCAGTCGAGTTCAAATATTTAATGGAGTAGAAAGTACAGATCTCAAATATAGTGAAGTAAAGGTTAAAAATATCCACTTGTATTTAAGTATAATGCAGATATTTTTTACTTAAAGACAGTACTTTACTACTTTTACCTTGTTACATTCCACCACTGTATAACCATAGCCACAAAGCAATCATCAAATGTAAAAATGAACAATCAATGATTTAAGGGTTTTTAAAAAATTATAAATTTTTCTTAGATAAATTTAGACTTGAAATTGTGCAATAGGTTGTATAATTTTTTATGTATAGTCAACTGTACAACTACACATTTCTATAACCAAAGAAAGCAGAGTTTTAAGTATATTATACACAAAAAGAATACTTGAAAAGTGCTGAAAAATTGGTTACATAAGAGGCATAAGAATAGGTGGCACTGATGATAGAGAGAATAGGTGGCATTGATGATAGGTGGTGCAAGTAGTAGCAGTAAGTAGCAGTCAATCAATGCAGTGTTTTCAATATATAATTTTTTCAAGGCAAGGCAAGACTACTTGTATACAATTCTTAGAATTAGACAAATGTATTGATCCATAAGGGAGAAGGGATACAGTAGCTCACATATCACAATAAATATAATAACAAAGAGCAAAAATATAAATGGTAATAATATATTTTAAATAAATAGCAAGAGTCTGGTGTCAAATAAGGCATAGTCATATAAATGTATATATACAAGTACAAATAAAATATAGAAAAACTATAATAATACAAATATATCTCAGCTTTGTACAGGAGGTCGAATTCAGAGTAACACAAAGGAATTCAAAGTGCTTTACAGAATAAGAAAGACATTAAAATCACAATACAAAGTAATATAAACATAAATACATAGCATAGTAACATAAATACACATCGTAACGTTAACATTAAAAGAGAAAATAATTCATAGTCAACTCAACTGTAGCTCTACAAATATATATGACTTAAGTGCTTAAACGAAATATATATTAAATACCAAATATTACTGAAGTACTGAAAAATTGGTAAAAATTGTTAGGTGGTGTCCTTCCATCCATTTTCTTCCGCTTATCTGGGATTGGGTCGCGGGGGCAGCAGTCTACCCAGATAAGTATAAGAAAATTTATGGAATGTGGCATCCATAGTACAGAAATAATAGTAGATAATAGTGGTGGTAGTAGCTAGACAATGTAAAGATGTAAAGGAGGAGTTATTAAGTTTTTTTTTTTTAATGTGCCACCCTTCAAACTAATTTAATAGAGTGACAGGTGTATTAAGAGCTATACTATAGGTATTAGTATTATGACCATTAATACTAGGGAGTAGTACAATGTAGTAGTTGTTCTTCTGTAGTTCTTATTGATTAAACTACATATAGATCATTTACAATTATTTATTTACAAGTACCTCTACACAGCCGATATTTTCAGCTTGCATGGTTATTTGTTTTATTTATAAGAAAGTAAACCAAATTTTTATTATGTATTATGTATTCCAGGTATCGCAAGGCTTTATCTAACAACTGCACCGAGGGGAGTGGATTGAAGTACAGCCCCAGGCGCCAGAAGTGTCCCAGCCAGTCCCCCAGAGGCCTGCAACTCTTCACCAGTGAGGGAACACCCGTGGCATCTCTGGAAAACAACGTCACTTTCCTGGTTTTTCTGGAAGAGGTCTGACTCCAACACTGTTCCTCACATGTCTTGCTTTTTCATTTGCGATTATAATGCTATCTATATCGAGACGCTGTCAGAAAGTAGCACAGTGGAAGAATATAAAGTGAATATCCGTGACCTAATATTTTTGTGAGGTTGGGAGTGACTGACAGCGGTGTGTTTACTTTTCCCATTCTTCTAAAGGGCCTCAGCTCAACCACAAGTATCACAGTGGACTTCGGGGACGGGACTGCCATATCCTATGTAAACATAAGCTCCATAGAAGATGGCGTCAAGCATGTCTACAGCAAAGTTGGCATCTATCAAGTCTCAGCCACTGCCAGTAACTCCTTGGGGTCTGACAAGGCTATGCTATACCTGCACGTCACCTGTAAGTCCAATCACTTGCTAAAACTGGTGAAAACTGTGATTACTGGTTGACAGACAGCCATTCAGTGTAAGCTTTTCAACGTTAAAAGCCTTAGATAACGCATTATTCAAACTACTTTGTACACCTTAGCCTTGACATTTCCTATCGTATAACTTAGTTTGTAACATGTGTGTATGTGTCTTTTGAAATACCTTGAAGCCATAAAGTGAGTAGAGTAAAGAGTAGAGAATGAGTTAAAGCTAAAAAAAACCCCAAAAAACACATTAGCAGCTAGCTTCAAACTTGCTAATTTTCATTATGAAAGTAATGTGGACACTGTCATGGGCATAACATGTCTGAAAAAGTATATGGACTTCAAAAAACACAAAGGAGCTATGTGATAAAAATGCAGTATTATTGAAACATTTCCAAACTAAATAAAACATAACTCAGATATGTAAGTATGTAGATTACAAAATTACAAGTGGACAATTTAAAAAATGGTCAAATTTTGGAAAATAGTTGTTTTATGTTTTAATGATATTTGCATCAAAATCGCTTCCAGTTGGACACTTTTGCATTTGAGTTCAGATGCCCCTGACACTCGTCTTGGACGCCGTAGATGAACAGGAGAAAAATACTTGACATGCGTCCATGGCATCCGCTGTGGTCTGCAAGTGCCTTGTTTTCCCGGTTGAGAGAGTGGCTTTAGTTTTATTTATTTTTATTTTATTTTATTTATGACATAAAACCCATTAGACGAGGCTTGGCAGCTGCTTTCTTGTTATGGTGTTTGTGGCTCCTGGGTCCCTCTTTATTCTTCTTCTTCCGGATAATAACGTTGCAACGTCACTGGATAGTATTCTCTGATTGGATGACATGGTGCATCTGATGGCAAAAGCTTTTTGAACTTCTGACGCCAATGCCCTGGACTCGCATGCAGAATGTCGACACCTGAATACTCAAGATGCGCCGCGTCTATGCCAGATTCTCACGGCGCTGATGCCTGAAGACATGCCGCAAAAACGCAGGACGCCCTAGACGCGCCTTCACGTATACTTTGCATGTGAACTGGATGCCTTGACACCCCAGACTGATTGCACCTTTAGCACCAGGAAATCATAATGTTATATACTGTCTTTTTTATTCTGCACTAGTAACTTTTATGCTTGTCTCCATGGGGAGTTTTTTTCTTTCATAAGACTGTTCCGCAGTATAGATTAAATGCCAGCTCACAGTCTTTTGAGGATTCAAATGTATGGAATTGAACAAATGTAACATAGATATGCTTTAATGTCATACTAAAGCAAAAACATTACCATGGATACTAGCAAGTGGCATGCCCTCCAAGAAAAGTTACCTAGTGCACTTTTTAGTACACAGAATGAGGTCCAAAGTAACTACATCCTTGTTATAGCCTTTCATTAAACTTCAAGTGCCCTGGACAACTGACTGTAGTGTTCTCACAGCTTTGAAATACTACCTCATAATGCAGAATGAGACCAATGCTATTTTGGGAGGGAAATTGGCTGCTATAATGGCCAATCGCTGTCAACATTTATCTGCCTGTGTACATTTTCAGAACCTCTAAAATGACAACCCAATTTTGCCTTTCAGTCCTTCTCTATTATAAGTGACATCTTGGACAATGCAACTCTATTAGGTGATTGTGATGTATTCAGCCGATGTAATTAGAACAGGTTTGAGAGGTTTTTAGAATTCATATTGCTGATTTAACCTCCTTTCAATCTACTCGTAATTGTTGTTGTTGGTAAATTGTCCTTGAACACCCTTATTTTAGTTGAAATGAGTGTTGCGTAAAAGTAAACAAAAGGCATTATGTGACTTTTTTTTTGCTTTATCCATAAAGGTCAGCTTGAACAGGTCCAGCTCTCGGCTCCTTCTGTGGCCGTCAAGAACAAGCCAGTAAATCTCACTACCACATTACGCCCGAGCCAAGTGGGGACAGTCACTTACTACTGGTGGTTTGATAACAGAACGGAGGTACATTGTGTTTCCTTTTCTCTTCTCTTCTGAGGCCCCATGCTGAGGCACAGGTGTAATCTTGTCTCATTGTATCTCACAGCCGGTGGTGACCCTAAATGGAGGCATGACCTACACTTTCTCTAAAGTTGGAAGTCACACCGTCACAGTTCAAGCTTCACTGGCCAACACTGTCCATCAGGATCAGATGACTATTGCAGTCTATGGTAAAGCATGTTGTCATATGTTTGTCATTTGTCTTTAACATGAAAAACAAACAGCTGACTGATTCAGATTTAAGGGGTTGTACCTAAAGTTGTGAAAGGAGGAACTGTAAACAAGCTTTTAAGACTTTTTAAGAGGTACAGTGCCTTTAAGGCATGATTTTTTACTACTACTATTTCCTGTTAAACATAAAATAATATGTGTCTGGAGGCTACAGCCTTGTCTTAGCTGCCATTAAACTTTTGTATTAAAAGACCAACAGATGCAGGTCTTGTGCCCTCTGCTTATGTAGTTACACTGACAAATAGCTTTGTATCATACCAAAAAAAAGCTAGCTAGTGTTCGGGAGACTATATGTAATCCAACTGTGAAGGATTCCTGAAAATGTTTTTGGTAAGTATAACATTATGCTTCTATGCTTGAAGGTGCAAGTAACTTTTCAGCTGGAAATAAATAATAAATCAAACAATAACAAAACAATAACAAAACAATTAAACAAGTTTATTGTCATACTGTGGAACATTTGAGGCAAACCAGTGATATCGCCATGGCCCACTTATAAAGTGAAGAATCATCATCTTGTAAACCTGTATGTTGTCCTTCGTGATACAAATCTTTAAAATGCTTTGTCATGCATAGGCAAGTCACCAGGGAATACACTATGTAAATGAGTATGAGGCTTTGTTACTGTCTCATGAGAGCACACATACCTGCTGATCTTTCTCAGACTCAAGACTTCCATGTTAATTCAATAAATCTGTAACGCACATAGATTTTGTGTGGTGCAAACTTCCTAGAAAAGACTGATGCTTTATTGATGGAGATGTGTCTTTGAAAAGAGCCATCACTGTTCTGTTTGTTTATATTATCATCTCCGCTCTGTTATAAATCACTTTCTCATTTTTAAAGCACAGGTTTGGTTTTCAATAGAGCCTTGTAAATATGCTTTTGTCTTCCAGTTTAATGGCTTTACACGCCAGATTTTCAATCAAATGTACCCAACAAAGCACAGTGCTCGCATTATTTTTATTATTACTTTGTGCCTATTACTAAGTTGAATCCATATTCAAGTTTATTTCTGGATTTTGCTTGTTTTTGTTGGATTTGAGATGAGTGAGTTGTACCCAGGCAAAAATAGCCCTTCTGTCCTCATAACATGGAAGTAATGAGTGAACAAACAGGTAGAGGGCAGTGTGTTACAAATGTATTCATCTAGGGTAATATTAGCATGGAATAAATGATCTGAGGTCAGTGCATTTTGACCTTTGAACTTTGAACCTAAACATTATGCTCAAAATATTCCATATTTATATTCTTTGACGAGGATTAAGGAATATTTATCAGATTATTGAAATGTTATGTAAACAGTTCTGCAAAAAAGGTAAACTATTTTTATTTTTTATATACATTAATGAAAAAACATGCTGAAGAAAAGTAAGAATAGATAATACATCAACACTACTATGTTGTTATTTATTTATGTATTTATTTATTTATTTTAGTTAAGATAAAAAAAAAAGACAAAAACAAAACAAAAACCCTCAAACATCCCACTCCTCTCTCCACACTCAACACATACACAAGACAGTACACTGAGTACATAAATATCAAATGTCAAGTGGCAAACTATTTTAAAACTGATGACATTTCTCTTGGACATGTAAACAGAGAGCAAGTGAGCAGATCTTTTTATTGAGATATCTGATTATTCTAATTTCTGTGGCCATGTAAATGTGCCCACTGAGAATAAGATGATTATAATTTTATAACTAAAGCTGGAGTGTATGCAAATTCTATCCATTTATCATAATTTATCTATTATAATTTATGGCATGCTTATTTCACTTGTTTTATTCATTATGCATTATGTGGGTCAGGTAGTCTATAGCGGTTGCATGCAGCTTCCCCATTATAATCCATGCAATTTTACTTCAAACACAGTATGCACAGTATGCACAGTATGCACAGTATGCACAGTATACACAGTATGTATAAGAGAGAGAGTAACTGTAAACAGAATGAAAACATGAATGAATGATGCAAAAAATCTGGTACAGTGCCTTCAGTGCATGTTTTTGGACTACTTTGGAAATCTTAGCTTTAGTATTTTCCATAGTATTAAGTAGGCCTGAAACAGTTATGTGCCTTTTCAGTTTTACACTAAATTGTATGTATAATGTCAAGTAAAACACTTAACTTTTGATCTTTGTTAAAAGGTGCATTGTATAACTTCTGGTAAAGGGTCTTGTCAAGTAATTCTCTCCATGGAGATGTTATTGCTTTGTCTGGAATGTTTCACAGTATGGCATTAAGCCTTTCTACCTTCATGGAGACCAAACCAGACCAAGTTAGAGGTCAGATCTGTAGTAACCCTGCCCACAGTCAGAATGCCTGTTTTTCTAGGTATTTTTGAGCTCTATAGCCACTTGTAATTGAATAAATGTAAGGTAGACCTATTTAAGGTCATACTGTAGAGCATTCCAGGCAGAGCAAGAAGGTGACCAGCCCAGAAAAGTTACATAGTGCACCTTTAATGCAGTTTAAAAATGATTAAAGTGTACCGTTGTCTGTATATAAAACTAAAATACCCATATGTTGTCTGTGCACTTCCAGATTACTTCCGCTCCCACGTTTTAGCCTTCTCTTCTAATCTGGACGAGCTGAACCCCGGGGTGTCTGAGTGGAGAGATGACATTGGCAGAGTGGTGAAGAACTCCATAGTGCAGGTCAGATCTGCTGCTGTGCTACTGGCTAGCATTACACAAAAATCCATTTAAATGAACAGCACTGCAGTCAACTTCTAAAGCCCTCTTTCAAACTTGGCAATTAAGCGCTCTTCACTAGCCCGCAGTGAAAAATCCAAAGCTTCACTGAGCTAATATTTCCTATACTGGGATGTGTTGAATTAGTAATATGACTCTATGCGGTTTTAAGCACTCCAGTTTCTCCACGTTTTAACCTCACAGTGTAATTAGCCATTAACCTCTGCACAGTGACATTGCACATGACATAAAACACAGCTAAAGCATACCCTATTGGAGAACTTGTCATAATACGAAAGGGCAGAGCAGACAAGATGACGACAGCTGTGGCCAAACCTCAAGTAAAAGGGAGTTGTTGAACTGCGGTCAAGTGTCTGGTTTTACTACTTAGCATCTAAAGGGAACGCCAAAAACACAGCAGCTTATGTGAAAAACCTGTGTACTAGATTCTAAATATATCCATGAGTAGCCCTCAGTATGAAACATTCACTCTGACCTTCTGTCTTGTCGGATATTCCCACGCGTTACACTGGGAAGTTGACAGGAGACCTCTACTTATTGAGGGACTGCACTAAAAGCCCCTGTCTTCGACCACTGCCTGTCAAATTGAACTTGTACGTCGAAGCAGATTTGTGCATTATACGGCGACAGTGACTGGTACTTAGGCAAAGATATGCGGGAGTTAAGTCTGTCATGTTTGGTCTTTAAAAAATCATCCTTTGAGGAATTCACAATCTCAGATACCACTTTATAGTGACTACACTTTAATTAAGCATGAACATAGACTTAATTCATAATGGACAAAGAGTTTATAGTATTAATAATGATTCAGGATTACTACATACTTATCGTTAGGGTTAAGTGTTAGGACTGTAAAAGGTGCACTATGTAACTTTTCTGGTTGATGGTCCACCACCTGCTTGCCTCCGTGGAGTTGTTATTGCTTTTCCACAGTGTAAGACATTAAATCTCTCTATCTCCAGGGAGACAAGCAGGAGAAGCCATCAAGCCAAGATTTCTGGAGAGGCACACTAAAATTGCATATTTTTCAGTATTTTCTGAGCAATAAAAACACCCATATGAAACAAATGCAAGGTAGGTATAAGTTTAATGTCATACTGTGGAAGATTTCAAGCAAAGCCATAACAACAGAAAGGCCTGTAGCAGACCCATTCATTTTCATCTTTATTCATGCTGTTAAGGCTATTAAAATGTAGTTCTTATAAAGTGTTACTCAATCATGTACTGAAAAGCCATGATGTCACTTCTAACCTATTAAAATGTTAATTCTTGTTTTGAATTTTTTTTAATTAAAGGTCACAGGAATCAGTGAAGACCAGCTCTTGGTGGCAGTGCTCCCCGGGTTGCCTACAACAGCCGAACTTTATCTGGTGCCAGAGATGGGGGCGAGAGGGGGCGCTGTTGAGGAGAAATGGGCCAATCTTGACCAGGTACACTGTCAAATCGCTCAAATACAGCTAGACACTTAAGGAGCGCACTGGGATGCACTGTAATAATTAAATGTAAGAATAACATGGTAGCAGAAGACAGGAAGTCTCTGGGGGATAGTTCCCAGGAGAAACCAGTCTATGTTTTGCATATGTTTTAGCCCGCGGAGATGGGCTGCAAGTTTAGTTTCAGAATGGAGGATAGTAAATTCACTTAGTAGAGCTCCGCTGCTCCCTTTTATGTCCCCATCGCATTAATAATGTAAGTTTTATTACTGAATATGAGTCTAGCATTACTGCCTGCCTGTCATACATTACAAAGATAATTTTAAGTTGTGTGGCGCTGGAGGGTAGCCTACTGGGTCCAAATTGATTAAAGGAGATTAAGTAGTTGGATCCTTTATAAAATGCTCCTATGGTAGGTTCTATCTGTCTATCTATATCTAGCTACCTGCCTTGCACACAGCATTTAAAAGGGTTAAGATCCTCAAAGGAATGAAAAATAATACATTTAATATAGAGGTGGGCAGATTATTGAAATATCCATAGGCTTCTGAATGATGGAAAATTAGGACCGTTGCCAATTTAAAACATATATATATCTCTTTTGAATAGGAAAAGGACATCAAAATCTTGCATATAACAGGAAGCTGAATCCCAGGAATAGATATTTTGAACGTTGTTTTGAATATATGTCAAGTATGTTCAATCCAATCCAGTTTATTTTTTAAGTGCTGCACAGAAAAAAAAAAAAAAGCATTTAAAACAAACAAATGCTCTACTAGTGCTCATAAAAGTAATAATAAAACCCTAAAACAGTACTAAAAAAATATTTAGTTAATGATCACAAATGCTGAAAAAAGAGCTAATTGTAAATTTCCAAACAAAGGTATAAAGTGACATTTTGGTTAATTTTTTCGGTTATTTATTTATTTATTTATTTTATCATTTCACATTTGTCTGACACTTTAACCTTAACTTATTTCAACTGATGAGGAGCAAGATCCAGATTTCCCTATTGACATTAACATTGTGTCCCCATCTGTATAAAATATTACTGGCCTATAGAATATTATAGTGTGAGCTGCAACCAAGGAATAACATTATTGGTTTGTTTAAAATATTTTCACCAGAAATGGATGTCTAGACAGTCTGAAATAAGCAAACTTATTCAAAGTCATGTTTGAGTATTGGGTATTTTTGTAGTTATTGTGGGCCAAGACAAAAATCAATCACATCAATTCACATCATGTCGATTTGTCATTTTCTGTCCAACTATCTAAAAGTACATTTATAAGGCCATTTTGGAGCAGGAACTATTGATCTTAGGTGACTTGGCTTTTTTCTGCCCTATTCTTTTCAAAGTCCCTGGTGCACTATGTAACTTTTTTTGTTGGAGGTCCATCACCTGCTTGTTTCTACGTATATGCCGTTGCTCTACCTGGAATGTTCCACAGTATGACATTAAACTCCCTACCTTACATTTATTCAATTACAGGTGGTTTTCTTGCTCAAAAATACCTAGAAAAACAGGCATTCTGACTGTGAGCGGGGTTGCTTCTCCACAGATCTGACATGTATCTGGTCTAGTTTGTTCTCCATGAAGATAGAAATAACATCCCCATGATGAAAAGCATTTGATGAACCCTCCACCAGAAAAGTTACACAATCCACCTTTAAGTGAATATTACTGTATTAACCCTAATTTAATTTCACAGATAATTTCAGAAACTCTACTGTTTAATCATCCATATGTTGACTTTTAGCCTTTCATATCTTTTAGTTCTTTCCAGTACTTTCCTCACCAAAACAATGCATCTCAATGAGCTACACGCGCCTTCCTCCATCTTTGTCAAAGTTCAGTTATTGTCACATATAAAAAAAACAATTTTAAGTGCAGCTTGGTTCTTTACTCCTCTGCACTGTGCTGCAACTCCACCGATTGCCCCCAACTTTGACGAGAATAAAAGACGACATCATTCTCATTGTGATGGATTACCAAACTCAGGGAAGTCTGAAGTCCAAAAGTATTTTCCTAGCACAGCGAATTGAATAGAGAATCTGGCTGCTTGGTATGTAGGCAAAAGTGTTATGATTTTGAAAAGGTCAGCGGCGATGACGAGCGCACCACTCTGCCAGTAATTGGACTAAAATATGGAAAACACTGGCATTATCACGGATAGACAGCAAGAATGTTATTTATGCTTTTCACAAACTTTTGAATATCACAATTTCTACTCATTTACCTGTCAGTTTGATGTACTTAGAGCATTTTGAAGCCACTATTCCCATAACTAAATTGTTCATAGTTCTTTCCTTTCTGCATTTGACATAAATAACCTCCCCAACTCCTCTCATTATAGCACACAGGATATCTGAGCTTTTATTACAGAGATTTAATGCCCCACAGCTGGCCTTTATGGTTATGGTTGACTGTAATACTGCATAACGCCACTAGAGAGCAATGTCTTCCCATGCATTTGACCGGACAACAGCTCATTAGGAATGCAGGAAGTGTAGAATGCTTTCAAAGACATGTTTTTCCTATAGAAAGACACTCATTAAAACAAATATTTATTATAATATTAGCTACCATAGTTTATTAACAATACCTAGATATTTGTAAGTGTTGCTTCAAATAGATGTTTTGTGGGTTAATAATGTATAGAGTATAAGTTATGTTCTCTATATGATGAGATATTATGGTAAGTATTTGTAAACATAGCCCGTTCACTGAGCTGCCTGTGGTGTCTGCATGATGGAGGTGAAGAGTTTAATCTAAATTATCTCTAGAGACAGACAGCATTTCTAAGTGATCTCTGGTCTCCAAGAGTGCAACTTTTTCATTATTTTGTTTACTATGTTTAAAGGTGCACTGTGTCTCATGCGGAGGGTCAGTCACCTGCTTTTCTCCTTGGAGATGTGCCTAGGATGTTCCACAGAATAGCCATAAACTTAAGAATTTCAATGGAGACTTGCAAGCTAAATTCTAGGTTAGATTTGTGGAGAGGTGATGCCACTCACAGTAAGAATGAATGTTATTTAAGGCATTTCATTTTTGAGCAATAAATAACACCTGTAATTGAATAAATGCAAGGCAGATTAGTTTAATACTAGAATGTGTTTCTTGTCCTTATGCCTTCAGTAACATCTCACATCATATAGTACATCCATAATTACAATAATTTCAGGTATTGCTTATCAAATCAAATTTAAAGCAAAAATGTTGAACAAACTCATTCTGTTTATTGAACAACAATGAACACACTTGATACATCTGAAGAAAGAAAGTAAGTCTCAGTTGTTGCATATGCCTTTTGGAGAGTGGAATTTTCAGATTCATGTCCTACAAGGAGCTCTGTTCATCCTGTAGTCAGATGGTATGTGTGCAGTCTCTTGAGTTTCTCAGTTGGTTGTTTTGGCGATGTGCTAAAGGTAGAGGAAGACCAGAGGCTGGTAAAAGGCAGGTGACTGGGCTCTGGGTGTCAGATTGATCTGGTTGAGCTGGTAATATTTCTTTTGGAGAAGAAGCTTTGGATACCTGGTCCAGCACAGACCACACAGGCTCCAGTCTCATGTCCCTGAAGGAAACAGGTGTGGAGGGACTTCTACCTGCGGGAGTATTCTGTGCCAGGCTCAGAAGAGCTAGGTGCCTGCCTTGTGTACAGACACAATGTTATTTTGTATTATAAATAATCCCTTGATGGCAATGTGACTCATGAGTCACAAGGCACTGTACTTTTACAAATGTGTTTCACATCTTTACGTATTTTGACCAATTCACCATTTCCCAAGTCCCACAAACATACATAATCTAAAAGCACTTTTAGATTACACTTAGCATACATTAACAGCACTCATCGTCATACATACAGACAGACAGACTCACAGCTAGCTCCTCATGTCCTCAGTTTGATCTCTGTTCTCTCATTTTCATTGGTGCACAGTCTTCTCTGAGTGATCATTTTACAACCATTTTATTTTTTATGTTTAGATCTTTTGAATAAATGCTGTCTTATGTCTAAATACCAAGGACAACCTGGGTCGTGAGTTCTTTGACATTTGAAAAAGTTGGCGAACAAGAAACCTGATACTTTGGTTTGAGTTCAACCTTTTTAATATGTAAACAGTATGCTAATCAGAGCTTTATGGACAGACGTGTGTGTTCATCACCACGGCGGGGACATTGTTTCTCAAGCAAATATCATTTTGCTGGCTCACAGTCACTCCCGAACTGACTTAATAGGTATTTAATTACATTGATGCATCATATAATTGGCACCAGCGTGGAAGGGAGCCGTACTGGGGCAGGCGGGCTGGATTGGGAATTAAAGAGATGTATTTATCTAAAAGCCTGTCTGATTACCTGGCAGAATCACACTGATAATAGGGCAATAAATCTTTCAGTTCACTCTCCTCCTCATCTCATCTCCACTGAGTCGCAGCGCTACTCGGAGGCATCTCGTCAGTTGGACTGAGTGAGAGCCACACACAGGCATGTGCGAAGCCTGGCGCGCCTTATTAAAACGTGTAATAGATTTACTGACCCTGATATGCCACTAGAACAAAAAGTAATTATTCATACTGTGTTGGAGTGGTCTAATTTTAACCAGTGGAAAATTTTGAGAAGAGCGAGATGGAATTAGTGAGGCATGGCTAAGGACTCCAATGGGCTCTGAGAAGACTTTTTAGTGGTGTGTTAAATGACATTCATTTAGGTATGAAAAGGAAGAGAGAACAGAGGAGAAATCAAAACAGTGATTGTATTGTGTAAAACGCACTTTGATTCACAGTGGCTGTGCTTGAATGCGTTTGCAGAAGAGCCGAGGTGCAATTGAGTAGATAGGCCTTGTTTCCACCAGTCATCTGTGACTGTATAAACATCCTGTGGAGATAATGTGCTTTTTATATATTTTAACAATGTCTACGCTCTCAAGATTTTCTTGGTGGCATTATGGTTTTGTAATCATCATAGTTGTAGTTACTAGTTTTTAGAGGTGAGCCAAAAATCTTACTAGAGTAAAAGTTATGTTACTTCAAAAGAATATAACTGAAGTAGTGGTCAGTGTTAAACAATAATAAGTTAAGATTTACAAATTACAATTTCATAAGAATTTTTGCTTTACAATTTTGTGCTTTTTTCATGAATTACACACTCAGTGGTGGTAATCTGTTGTCCAGCTCCCCTGGGACTAACTGAAGGACACAAGGCTGCCAATCTGCACCATCGTCCCCTCTGACTACAGCCAACCTTCACTCAAACACCACTTTCATACTTGGCAATGTGGGTGAAGTGTCTTGCCTAAGGACACAACAACAGTTTTGCTATTGTGGCACCTGGTACTCCCAGCCATCTCCGTATTTGGGGAAATAAGTGTAACTATCTGGCGAAACATCTGAAAACTGTTATATTTCTAACCTATCCTGTCCTGTCCTATATTTTCTCCAGGGCAGTTGTGGCTACAGTAGTACCACCATATGGAGTCAATGAAAACAAAATTGTACACGACTTTGAGCTTTTACATATGAGCTCTTCTAGTTTCTTCTGTTAACGTTTTGTAACATATTCAAATGGTTAGTGTTTTATTCCTCTTGTGTAATAATAAAAACTGTACTTAAGGAACTACTTGGAAAATGAGTTATGGGGAGCAAATTGTAGTGTTTAGCGTAACTCTGCCTGTGGTAAAACTTGGAGGCCATAGTTGCTGTAGTCGTAGGGGCAGTATAATTATATACAATGATTTTATAAGCCTATTTTTGCTTCAATTTAATTAGTTCTGCATAATTTCTACTTCTACTTTGGCAGTGAGTTTAACCACTCTTATCTAAGCAGACCAGTGTTTTCTGGAAGCCAAGGTGTGTGGCCCCGGATTCTTTTTTTGTTAAAGAGTTTTTCTGAAGTAAAAATAATAGAGGGATTAATAATGTGAAATGCCACTGCTCAGGCTACATCGCTAATAAGGCTGACCGTTTTGGGAAGAATATCTAATTGCGATTTTTCTGACAAGAATTGCTAAATTAGTTGTTTTTGTCGATTGAAAATACTGATATTTTTGTCAAATGATAAACACTAATCATAAGTGACCAAAGGAATAAGGAGAGACTATGTTCAAGCTCCACTTTTCAGTCCAGGAGCCCCAAAAACAAACCCAATGTCCACTTTGGTACATGTCCCATGGAACAATGCAATACAAAAATATTATAGGTAAAATAAAAAATATATATATTCTGGTTGACGAAAGCTGACAAATTGGCGTGACATTTCAGTTGAGTGAAACTAAAAAGAATTAGTTGACAAAAGGGAAGTCTAGGTGTCCCTGCTTAGACTACCGCCCTCACGATTTGGCCCGGGATAAGCAGAGGAAGATGGATGCATAGTTGTCTAAATCTTGGCCAAACACTGTATAAAGAAGTGGACTAAGGGAGTGTGATGTTACTCATCGAGTTAACTTCAGTCAAATGAAACTCACAGGACTAGCAATTATAGGAGTGAATTTGAAGTTGAATTCTATATTGGGAACAGGAATTTATTTACAAACAAAATTAAAACACCAGGATCTTGTACAGTGGGCTAATTTGAAGAGCAAAATTACAAGGCTCACTGCAGCAGTTACAGACAGAGGGGTGACAAGTTTTCTAAGTAAAGTTAGGTGAGCCGGAGCATCCCCATACTCATTTCCTATTTGGAACACGGCTGCTAGCGGGTTAGCTATGTCTATTTAGTCTGTGACTAAAAAACTATTAAAGTTGTTTTGTCAAAATGAACACGTCCATTCAAATGCGATTTCAATTTGATTGTGATGAATCTTGCAGTCCTAATCGCTAACCACTTGCCATTTTACCTGATAGGTTTCTTCGTCAAACTCAACCTGGGTCTTATTCTTCAACATCAACATTTCCTCCTCTTTAGAAGGAAATCTAAATTCTGATTCATAATTCAAGCTGTCGGAGAGGGCTGAAATATTGATGTCGGGATATTGCAGTGCAGCCGGGCGCTAACCGACTCTTCTCTGCTCTGTCACTCTCCTCACAGCTTTCTCAGGTTCTGCTAAGTGCTCTGAATCAGGATCTGGTCCAGTTCTCACTCAAGCCCGGCGTGCAGGTGAACGTCTACGCCACGCGCCTCTCTCCAGGTCAGTCCCAAGCACACACACTTGAGCACACGCCCGTCACAGTTTTTACGATATGGGACAGTGTCAGGTAAACTTTGCACTTTTAATAGCTGTGTAGAAGAGAGGAGTAAAACTGGATCAAAAGTTTGCGGTGTGTTTTTTTCTGAGATGTTTGAGAATTATATTTGAAAAAACGGTGCATAGTGAGAGGATGCCCCCTCATCAGCAAGCCAGCCACCATCACTGACATCTTCTATGATTGATCTCTGCTGTTAATGGCTAATGACCTCGGAGATGTATGAAAACATCAGTTTGTTTACTTTCAGGTAAAGGAAATAGATGACTCCTTTCAATACACTCCCTTATAATGTGCTTCGTAATCATATTTTATGCATTTTCTCCAATGTAATGCATTTCTAAAGTAATCCCTGTTGCAAGTATATGTTATAATGTTGTTTTATCATAAAAAAAAACATACCTGCAGTGTGTTTTGTTTTCATTCACATATGTTTAACACACAAATCCTGCATATTTTGACAGAGCTCCTCTAACAGAAAACACTGATCCCCTTTGTGATGTCATGTGGTAGTACAGGAAGAGCTCCACTGTCTCTGTAAACTCCAAACTCTTCTTTCTCTCTATGTCTATCTCTACTGAACAAAAGGGAAAAAGTAGCTGGTTACTTGAAAACTGGTGAACAGAGCATTTTGAAAGATGTTGAAAGACTAATAATAAAAAATGAAACAACATTCAATTTTGCATAAGGTAGGATCTTTAAAACTTCTTTTACCACAATTCCCATTGCATAATATATTAGTATAGTGAAAAATTGTCATAGTTTTTAAAGTCAGCAATTTTTTCCTCAGTTTAATTTATCACTAAATCAATCAATACATGTTGCCAATATCAGAATACAAGTCCAAAAGTAACTAAAGTAACAATAATCCTAAGAGTGATTTATTGTATAAGTAATCATGAAAAGTGATGTATTACTGTGTGTTTGTATGGGATCAGAGAGGAGGTCAGAGGTCACAACCTTGGGTGTGTGTTGACAAGTCTGTCGTCTGAAACTTACATTCAGTCAGATTGAGTGCTGCACTACTTGCTGTATGAATACAAATATACAAGTAGGTCTATAACTGAATAGGTATTTAAAATTAATCACAAATATGACTGTCCATATTGGTACACTGAATAAGTGTACAGAAAATGCAATAATTAGCTACCAAAAATGTTATGAGTTGTACTAGTAGAAGATATGCATAAAATAAGATGTAGAGGGAAGCATTCCTTAAATATGCTTAGATGAATGCAAAATATATGGATATATTGAAGGAGGATAAAATGGAATTGTATAATCTCTGTTATTCCCCTAACCCTTTGCTTTTCTGTTATCTTACAGCTCCCCTAGTGGACAACAGTGAAATTGTCCACAGCAGCACTGCCATCATCATGCTGGTGTCTGTTGTTCTAATGATCCTGGCCATTTTTGTCATATATAAATTCAAAAGGTAATATGCATATACACACACACACATACATTTCCATATGTAAAGTAGTAATTGACCCAGTACTGTAAGCAACTTTACTGAAATCTCTGCCTATTCCCTCCACCCACTTCAGTGATAGATACCGCTCTATTTCCTTTGTCTACTTTGTAAATGTGTTTGCATAATGGCCTTGTTTAGTGCTGGCCCCATTACCTACTAGCAACCGCCGCACTCCTGAGCTTCTAAAAGTTTCCCCAAGTATTTAGACTCCCTATATATCTGAGTTATGGACAGAGGCGGTACAATAATAGCCAGGAGGAATAAGACAATTCCCCTCTGTCTCAATCTGCGGAATATTACCGGGAATGACAGTCTAATCAATTCTTCCGGAGAGCTCAATGGGTGTCACAGTCCTGCAGTTATCAATATTCATCTATCTGACAATGTGAGGGTTGACCTTTTGGAAATGCTAAACACAGGCATCCAAGGTGAGGCGTACACTGTGCAGGGATGGCAGCAAAGGTTGAGGAGATAAGTCCAGAGACAACATATATTATACAGTGAGGGACATACAGTAAATAGCGTCCCCTGCTCCCTCTAATCCCATGCCAATCACAGGGGATAGCTTTGAAAGCAGTTTTGGCAGCTTTCGTTATAAAACTAAGTATGCCATCATCCTGGAGTCTTAGAAGTATAAAAAACATTAAATTAGATCTGTTGAAATGCTGTGTGTTTGGCCCCTCTCGTGGGGTTGCATCTGCAGTAATGACTTGCGTGCAGTGTTTTACAAATCAATATATGGCACATGGGAACATATGCCTTTTTAATTACTCTGATCATGTCTATATATTTTATTTTTTATTATATAGTCTTTAATTGTGTCTGTAAATATACCTTTTGTAGTACTGCATTTCACATTGAACTTAGAGGCACACTATAACTTTTCTGGTTGAGGGTCCAACACTTGCTTGTCTGTATTGACAAGTTTTTCCTTTCCTTGGAATACAACACATTAAACATATATTTCTAGCATTAATTTCATTGCTGGTGTTTTTGTTGTTCAAAATACTTGCAAAAAGTACACTTGTATTCATACTACAAATGGGGTCCCCACATATTTGACCTGTAACTTTATTTATTATTTTTATGTATTTATTTGTATAGGGACAGTACATATTAATGAACATTTAAATGTAAATGTGTTTATAAAGATTATAATTTCCATCTTCAGTCCCTCGGCAGCTGGAAAAGTACAGGTGACCATGGAGTTTACCTGCTTGTCCCCATGGAGATAGATCTGTTTAATGCCATATTGTGGAACATTCCAGGCTCACAAAGACAACCGTGTGCCCGACCCCCCACCATAAAAGATCCATAGTGCAGTGTGGCTTGTCAGAAAGATGACATATTCAGGTCTAGATCAGACTTTCTTGATATTAAAAGCTTTTGCCTATTGTGAATGTTTTAGGCTAAAGGTTACAGATACACATAGCACCAACACAAAGCATGTTCTTGCCCCCTTCTTGATTGAATTCTTAACTACAAAATCTGTCTTTTTGCTCACTGAATGTGGATTTGGCATTTAACTTTATTTTCAGTGGCATTCAAAGGGTCCTAAGAAGTCTCCAATTTTACCTGTAAAATCCTCTATCCTGTTTTTAAGACATTAACTTTCAAAAAGCTACTCCAAATGTCACTGCGGCAGATGCAGACGCACGCCACACGGGGAGAATCTGAAATTAGAAATGCAAGATGTTAGTTTTAAGTCGAATCGAGGGGCTGCATCTGAGGGGGATGAAAAATTGATTGAAAACTAAGGTGAACAATATGAGAGTGAGAGTGCAGTGCCCCATGGAATGCTCAAAATGCCTGAGTTTCCCTGGCTTTTCTGCGCTATCTTTTTACACTGCTTATACTTATGTGCTCCATTTTATCATCAGTTACACTTATGAACATCTAATTGATAGTCTGCAAACATGTAAGTGGTTAATTAAACTAGGTAAAGAGGGGGTATTATGCAGAATCAACTTTTTGGAGCTTTCTACCATGTTTTATTGTTGTTCCCTCATCACAAACATGCCTGAGAGGTTTTATATGTCATCCATGCATGTTTCAGTAATTTAGTGATCTCTACCTGGCCTATTCGAACCCCCCCCTTACGGTTAGCTGTAAGATTCTGCCCAATGCTCAGTCCAGAAGCCTACATCATAAATAAACAAAAACATGATGATTCCAAACAATAAAACGTAACATGGTGATCTAAATATGTTATATGGTAGCAATTAATACCCCTAGACGTAAAATCCCCCCTCTTTAAAGGTGCTATATTACACCAACTGACTCTTGTGAGCTTTAGGTCATGTTAGAATGTTAGCTCATCAAAAACATACCTGGAAGTGTGTTTTGTTTCATTCATACATGTTTGAGTAATCATTTATTATTATCGGTCTGTCAATTTCACATCTTTCTTGAGCTCAAAATGCTCTGTTCCACCTTGTGATGTCTATTATTAGTTTTCAAGTTAACAGCTTTACCTTTACCTTTTTATTCCAGGATTTAAATTATCCAAATAATTCTAGCAAAGGTGTATGGAGTTTAAAAACACAGTGGAGCACTTCTTGCATTACCACATGACATCGCATGGTGAAAGAGTGTTTTGTGTTTGAGAGAAGAACTCAGCCTAAATATGCAGGATTTCTGTGGTAAACAGGTGTGAATGAAATAATTTACCTGGAGTTGTGTTTTATTATAAAATTCCAAATATGTTTGTGATGAGGAAACAACAATTACAACATAAATCAGAAAATAGCATAATGTGGTGCCATTTAAAGTCAACTGTTCACTAGTATTTATTCTGCCTTTAATAATGTCTTACTCTGCATAACATTAGCATGCTGCTAATTAGACACTATTTTATTAACAAACTCTTTTCAAGTACTTTATTACTGTGATGTTGGGACCTTTATACATGCACCTAAAAGGCTTTTGGTAATAAGGGTCTTAAGGGCTAATACCACAAAATGTAGTTTTTCCCTAATTAACACTCAATAAATATAGCAGACTCTTATGTAACATATTAGAAAAGTGTTAGTTATGTCTAATTAACAGCACAATAGGCACACAGAATAAGGCATTCGAGGTCCTATTACACAGATTTTACTCTTTAAGCCATGTTATATATGTTTTTACCTCCTCAGAAACATATCGGGAATCGTGTTTTGTTTCATTCACATGTATTATTATTTATTATTAGTCTGTCTACATCTCCAAAGCTGAAAATGCTCTGTTCCACCTTGTGATGTCATGAAGCAGTACTTTTCAAGTTAACAGCTACCTTTTACCTTCTTGTTCAGTACTGAGTGGCGATTCCAGCACTGTCTAACTGTAGACAAGGTGTGGAGTATGGAGTTTAAAAACACAGTGAAGACCTTCCTGTATTATCACATGAGATTACAAGGTAAAACAGAGCATTTTCTGTTTGAGAGAAGAACACAAAAAAAACACAACTCCAGGTCTGTTTTGACGAGGAAACAACATTATAACACAGATCAGAAAATAACACTACATGGGCCCCTTAGTAAGAGCTGAAAAAATACTAACTTTAACTTTAATCAGTGTACAAGTATGCAAATTAGCAGCTACAGTACTGAAAAGTTGTAAAAGTACAGATACATGGTTATGTACTGTACTCTATTAGAAGTCCAAATACTGCAACCACAATTTTATCTAGGTAGAACTAATTACTACACATCAAAATGACAATAACAAATTTAGAAGCGTGATATATTGCTGTAGTACTGTATAGATGATAAATGATAATATTGATTTTACTAATTTATGACCCTGACACTATAACCCAAAAGCAGGTTTAAACCACAAAAACTACTCTAAATGTATAATATTGTTAAAAAATCATGAGCTGTATAAAATAAATAGAAGATGAAACATTTTAGTACTTAGTTTGCATCTGTAATGATAAAAGTTATTAATTCAACCTTTTATAGCTCAAATCTCATCATAAAGATAAAAAATAACCAGCTCCGTAGTGCAAAGAAAATATAACCCCCTAAAAATATGGTTCCAGCTTTCATATATTGAACGATAAATTCATATAGTAATTATTGTAACAGGCATACTTTTCATCAGTATTCAGTTTAATCAGTTGCTTTCTATCTCTGGCAGCTAGTTGGATATAAATAACTGTTTTCAAAAGTATTAGCAAGCAACCTTTTTATTTTTATTTTTTTTCTCCGTTCCCCTTGTGTACCCTACAGGAAGATCCCAGGCATCAACACTTACACAGCAGAGCAGCCAGACAAAGAACAAGAGGTCATCCCGACTGTGACCTCCATAGCAGAGCCAGACCCGCAGGGAGACAAGCTGACCCCGCTGGACCGTGTGGATGTTCACTTAGACTCCAAAAGCAGAGGTACTGTCATGTCCGCGGCTTCCTCAGGGCGCCATAGACTTTTCCCACTGTTCACTAGAGATGTTTTCAGCGTGCACACAAATAAATCCGAGTTACAATTTAGCCCATAGTTTTGTATTACTCACTAAAAAAGCAAAAACAAAACATAATTCTCTGTGTAGCTATCTTCTGTCTGTTACATAAATTTTGATTGTAAAAATAGGATATGAGTACACCCAGAGCGTTATTCTCTTTGAGATAGCCTTCTGCTGGGTAATTTTTTGCTTCCGCTTAGTGTACTTCTTCACGTTATGCATTATCGGTATCACAAATACACTGAGACCAAGTATCAGTATTAGAAAAAATTGTATCGGAACAACACTAATTACTATACAAAATTTCACGTTGGCTCACAAATAAATCTGAGTTACAATTTAGCCTGTAGTTTTGTATTACTCACAAAAAAAAAACTATAAACATAATTCTCTTTGTAGCTATCTTGTTCAATTTTTTTTATTGTAAAAATAGGATATGTGTACTCTATCTTTTTGAGATAGCTTTTTACTAGTTATTTTTTGTAGTAGCCTTAGCCCACTTCTTCACATTATGTGGCATCGAACAGGTATCATATCGGTATCAGGTATCGCAAATACACTGAGACCAATTATCAGTATCAGATCATAACCAAAAAAGTGGTATCAGAACAACATTAATTTCTAAACAAAATCGAAGTTCAAAAACAAATCCGGGTTACAATTTAGCTTGTAGTTTTGCATTACTCGCAGACACAAAAATCTCTGTGTAGCTGTCTTGTTACATAAATTTAGATTGTAAAAATAGGATATGAGTGGGTTTACAAACAACAAAAATCTTAGTAAGGAAGTTTATTTTGCAGTTGTATTTGCCATTTCATAACTATAATAAATCAGATCTATAATAATACGCCTATATTTCTTAGTTAGTGCTATCCAAAAATGTATTATTGCCACACAGTGTGATACAGCCCAACAGATCGGGAATGCCCATTGATTTTCACTAGATAAAACTTTATAGTCTTTTAAAAATGTTGTGTTCTGCTGACCCCCTGTGCATATATTAGCATAGTTTATTGTCTGTTTTACGGTCAGCGCTCCCAAGCTCCTCTGCATTGTTGATGGCTTCAGGTCGAGGTGTATTGTAAATAAGACATTGTATAAATATTGGTGTCCCTTTGGAGAGCCAATTAAGAAGTATGTTATAGTGAGAAAGATAAGAAGAGGAGTGTAGCGCATTACTAGTTTGGGGGTGTGAATGAATCTTATTTAAAGGTGCATTGTGTGAACTTTACTGGTGAAGATGTTATTGCTTTGTCTGGAATGTTTCACAGTATGGTATAAAACCTTTCTATCTTCATGGAGATCAAACCGGATCAAGGTACAGGTCAGATCTGTGGAGAGGCAACCCCGCTCACAGTCAGAATGCCTGTTTTTCTAGGTGTTTTTGAGCTGTAAACCCACTTGTAATTGGATAAATGTAAGGCAGAGCTGTTTAATGTCATACCGTGGAACATTCCAAGCGGAGCGGTGACATATCCATAGTGTAGTGGACCAAACAGAAAGGCAAAGACAAGGTATAAAAATAAGTTTAAATTTAATAAAGTCAAAAAAAGATGAAATTTAACAAAGGCTCAAATGAGGTAAATCATTAACAAAAAGCCGGGCTCAACTTGGGAAACTTAAATCAAACTGAACACAACAAAACTAACCCGACCCGACAAAGGAACAAGGGTGTTTAAATTTAATTCATGACGACCAGCTAAAACTAAAACAAGCGGGGAAAACTACAGTAAATAATTAATGAAAACTACTAACTTAATCAAAATAACAAGAAGGGAAATAAGTATAATACAGAAAATAATAAGTGATAATAAAGTGACCTTAAAACGAACTAGACAAACGAACTTACTAAAACTAGCTAAATAGTGCTCCCCCCTTTGTTGATTCATGGATGGTCTCTCCCGAGGGTCCCCTGTCTGGCTGCTCAAACAAACAAAAGAACAAGTGTAAGTAAATAAATAATTCAGACTTATACTAAAATGTGTACACCCAAATTAGAATATAAGTCTAAATAAAGGAATTAAATTATGTGCTGTAATTGACTTAATGTAAATGAAATGAAATAAATGAAAGTTGGGTGGTGGTAGAGGTGTCCACCACACATAGAAACAAGCAGGTGACGGACCCCCAACCAAAAAGTTACATAGTGCACCTTTAAACAGAATTGCACAAATAGACTTGGCTGAACTCACATAAGTGCATACTGCCCCAACAGTACATTTATATATTAGCTTGAAAACTTCAGCACCACTCCAGCTCCAGGGCCGTTGGAAACTAATATTTAGCTGAAATACACAGATCCAGGTAAGTTGGCCACAAGCTCATCTCTGCTTCTGAAAATATTACTCGTCTTTTTAGGGTTGTTCCGATACTGATACTGGTATTTGCAAAAACTTCCTATACCGCAATTTTTTTTAGGTATCGTATCAAGTCACCTGATCCGATACCACCTAAATGAGGACCATGAATGAGGACCCACTGAAGCGAGCATGGCCTCTATTGATGTCTGTGGTTAATGCTCTCGCTAATGCCCAGAGTGTTATTCTTGTTGATTTTCTTTAGAGATAAGCTTTAACTAGTTATTTATTTTTTGCCCTTGTGTAATGACAGGATGTAATTGCTTCTTCTCACTTCTTCACACTATGCTGTATCGGATTTGTATCTGTATCGCAAATAACCTGAGGCCAAGTATCAATATCAGATCAAATACAAAAAAAATTGGAACAATACTAATTGCTATACACAATTTTAAAGACAATTTTTACGTTTTAGTTATTATGTTATGTGTATTATGTTAGTTTGGTTCTGCAGTACTTCAAATCGTACTTTTAGGTGTTGAATAATCTGTAGCCTGAAAACCCAGAATGCTGTTTGGTGCACACTAGAATGCACTCTTACTCGTGTACCTTCAGATATTCATAGAACTATTCATTGTTACTGTGTTACCGGTGAGGTGAAAACTTTTTGTTTGGTATTTGTCACACTTTTCAAATGTGTTTAACAGCGAGCGGCGTCCTTTCCTGAACCACTGTTCCTGTTCTCTCCGCTCGCCAAGCTCTGACACACTGTCAGTAGCTTTTACAGGGACTATTTCATCTTCTAAAAGTAGTTCCAATTAAATCTGCTCAGGCACAAACGTTAGACCAGTATCTCAAACCCTCCGCACATAGAACCAAACTCAACAATTAGGCCAGCTAGAGGTAGAGAAGTCCTCTTTTAATTGGGATGAAGTGGCCATTTAATATAGCAATAAAAAGTTACTGCAGAAGTCATGACAGCAAGTCTAAAATGAAGATTCAGCACAGGAAAAGGTATACCAAACATGTAAATCAAACAAACTTTAAAATGTAAGAAAACAAAGTAAAGTCAGTGTGTGAGAACATCCCTCTGTTATTGCACAATTGAAGTTTGATTTCCTCAGGTGCATTCTTAAAAGAACCAATCGGAGCTAGGGGACAAATTCTTGATAACCTGAAGAGGCTACCTCATCAGCTGACAGCTCTTAGACACACATGCTTTTCCTATGTGGATTTAGAAAAAAAGTCTACTAGTCCCACTTTGAAGTTATACTCAAATCAAGCAGTGTCAGACTATTTTCTCTGTAGAACTGAGAAAGTTGTTTGACTAGCCACACTACACAGAAATAAGCTACAGTTGGAGACCATTTGGTTTTATCAATTTTAGCTGTTTTTTCCAGCCATATAGTGGCAATAATTGGACATGTTCACAAATGTCTCCTTCCTTCACAAGTTTCCCAGTGCAGGGTTATACCAGTCTGTGTTTGAGACTGTGCTGCATTAGTATTCATGTGTGAGTAAAACACAATCAAGTGCAAAGTAAGGCGAATGTCGGTGTGAATTATTTGACCCAATAAAATAATTAGTGCATCAGGAAGGAAGGCAGAGTGGTGAAAGCATTTTCATCAAGAAATATCTGCACGGTTCCAGTTGATTTACCTCCAGCAGCGGCTAAACAATCGACCCATCCAAGACAAATGTGTTTGTACAAAATACACTCTTATGCATATGGCTGCATAAAACTGTGTGTGTGTGTGTCCCTGTGCCTTGTCCCCTGCCAGGCTACCTGCCATCTCACGCAGACATCAAACTCCCTGATGAAGCACCCCATGTGTTTTAATGGTGAGAGTGTATGACCGCCTCCAAAGCAATACATCTTCTTTGGCAGTTACTTCCAGAAGCCTATGAATCCACGGTCACAATGAACAGTCTCTGGTGTTTTGTGCCCATGCATGGACGGACCAGCTCGCACTGTGCTGCCTAATCCCTCCGAGGACACTGTACAGATTTATACTCGCTTCTGGAGGGGGACAAAAACTGGAACACTTTTTGACTGGAAATACTTGTATTTTTGCAAGGACGCTTGATCTTTTTATGTAAATAATGTACATTCTTAATGGACAGGGGTTGAGGTCATTTGTCTCAGCTAGTTTTGGCTGTGTTGCTTTAATGTAAAAATATCCAGCAGTGCAGATGTTGAATAATGTCTGTGAAAAGAATTCTGTGCAAAAGTCTTTGGGAGGTTTATAAAAAGACTATGTACAAAAGCGTATAACATAAAATGTGTACTAAAATACATTATATGATGCTTTTTCAGTAGCGCCCCAGAAGGTCAAACTAGTATACCAAAAGGTTGCCAGTTCAAATCCTGCTCTGTCTATTACATTTATTTGTTGTTCCTAAGCAGACACCTTAGCGCCCTTGAATGTATGTAGAATTTCATTATAAATCTATCTTGTCTCCATGGAGTTATCATTAATTTTCTTTAAATGTTCCACAGTCTGACTTAAAACATATCTATCTTGTATTTGTCCAACTGCAGGTGTGTTGTTTTTTTTTGCTTTAAAATACCCTGTATTCAACATATATGTGGACTCGCCTCTTCCACTGATTTGACCTGTAACTTGACTTAGTAGCATCACTGTATTGTCTTCTTGGAAGTAGACCCTATTTTACAAGATTTAATGCCATACTGTGGAACATTCAAGGCAAAGCAATAGCATGTGACAGACCCTCCCCCAGAGGAGTTACATAGTGCATCTTTAAAGGGCCCACATTAGGCTGTTTACTGATTTATGTTATAATGTTATAATGTGTCATTCACACATGTTTAGCTCACAAACCCTGCAGATTTAGGCTGAGTTCTTCTCTCAAATGGAAAACACTCTGTTTCACCTCATGATGTCATGTTGTAATACAGGAAGTGCTCCACTGTTGAGTTTTGAAACTCCAGACACCTTCACTAGAATCATTTGAATTGATTTCAGACCTGGAAATGCCAATCTCTACTGAACTAAAAGCAAAATGTAGCTGTCAACATGAAAACTACCAAAACATGACATCACAAGGTGGAACAGAGCATTTTGAACTTTGGAGGAAACATGTAAATGAAACAAAACACTACCCCAGGTTTTTGAGGAGATAACACCATTATAACATGAATATAAAACTCACAAGATTCAATTTTGTGTAATATAGGACCTATAAAGAGTAAATCTAAAGTGATCTTATAGCATGTTTTTTCTCACCACCTCCCTTAAACTTTTGCACAGTGCTGTTGGCTCCTTTTTTCTCTTGTGTTGTGCCATTTACTTTGTTAAACTATGTAGAAGTGTCTTATCACAGTTACAGCAGAGACAGTGAGGGGCGCGCGGATTCATTAAGCCTTGTACAATCACTAAATCTTATCTCCCCATCCTCATCAAATGAAAGCTCGCAATATCCACGAGATGAAGAAGGCCCCCTAGTCCCACATCTGTGTATTCCATCAAGTAGTGTCCCTCCCCCCACCTCCTCCGATGTTATATATGTCATAACAAAGCCCAGCTGATGATTGAAGAAGATAGACTTTCAATAGGCCGGAGCAGCACTACTAGCAGCAATCCCTCTTGTTTTAAGGAGACCCAAATAAGTCAGTCTATTGCAAAACTCCCCTTCATATCTGTCAAAAATACATGCATATATCTACTACTTTCTGCCTACAATATTTTTTTCTAGCTTCAGGAATCCATCTGACTTTTTTAACTTTTTTTTTTTTTTATCGCTGGGAGCAACCGTTGTACAGTTTCTCCAGTAAATTTGAATGTATTGTTGTGAATTAAATTAGTTGGTTTGCAGCAGAGAAAGAGAGAAAGTAGCAGCTAAGGTTGATGGAAAGCGTGCTGTGTAGCAGGGGGGAGCTGGGAAGTCTTTATGCCTGTGTTATTTCAGGTAGAGACGATTTGCAGACAAGGCTGGGGTCCAAGTAAAACAAATGGATGTCAGTTTAAATGTGTAGCTCTATTTGTACAACCGCTGATTGAGTTTTGTCCTGTTATGTTTATTTTCTTTCTTTTTCATTAAATACAAAGTTTTGAGTGAAATATAGAAATCATTAAGAAGCTGATCTATGTTATAATGTTGTTTCCTCACCACAAACATACATGAGTTGTGTTTTGTTTCATTCACACACGTTTAACTCACAAATCCTGCATATTTAGCCGGAGTTCTTCTCTCAAACTTTGTTCCACCTTGTGATGTAATGTGGTAATACATGAAGCGCTCACTGAGGGTGTCCTCGGTAGAATCATTTGGATGATGTCAGCTCTGGAATTTCCCATCTCTAGTGAACTACGACCCCGTTTACACTGAAAAGAATCCGCGTATCACCGTATCACTGTATCGGAAACGATCTGCGTCCAGATTCTGTGTCCGCAAGCCTTCCTTATCCACACAGCTTTGAGCATATTTGTTTACATTTTACAGAAACGAAACTTAAAACCACATGGCTAATTAGCATAAACTGAGCGCTCAAAACAGCTCGCTATTGTGCGCTGATGTGGTTCAGCTTCTGTCAGAGTAAAGGACACGACTCAGTGGATTATATGTGTTCTTTCTGTGACAGAGGGATGTTCTACTAATGGTGAGTCTGTTCTGTGCTTCTATCGCATTGGAGATGATTCAGGTGAAACTTCTCAGAGATTATACATCTGCAGGTCGTACGCATAGACCATATATATTAATATATTCTAGCCTCTTAGCGTTTTGGCGGTGAAATAGCTACTTCACGGTACATAGAATTACATCAGCGTATCAACGTTTTCAGGCGTCCACACAGTGCCGGATCAGATCTGTACTCAGATGAATTCGTGGAAGCTGGCGGTACCAGATCATTCTGTCTCTGGAGCCATTTTCTATCGGATTAGTGTGGACGAACACTGCATCCACAACGAAAACGATTCAAATACGTACTAGTGTGGACGGGGCCTTAATGTAAAAAGTAACTGTTAATTTGAAAAGTACAGCTTCATGACATCACAGGATGGATAACTTCAGGTATATTTTTGATGAGGTAACAGCATTCTAACATAACTTAAAGCTTGCAAGAATCCAGAGGTGCAGTATGTAACTTTTCTGGTGGAGATTGTTATCTATTTTGCATTTATTCAGTTACAGGTGTTAGTAGTAATTGCTAAAAAAATACCTTGAAAAACATGCTTTGCTATCGTGTGCTGGGTTGCTTCTTCACAGATATTACGTGTGACATGTTGAAGGGTTATCTGTGCCAAACTGGAATGTTTTAGCAAAGCAGTTGAGAGTAGAGAGTAGTCATTCAACAGAAAAGTAACATAGTGTACCTTTAAAGTTTAGATAATTGTATAATGCTTCAATGTTCCAAAAAGGAAGTGAGAAAATCTGGCTCCAGTTCACTTTGTATTGAAAAAACATCATCCATCTCTCCATAACTGCCACTATCAGGCTTCTCATTTTGATCTTAAAATGTTCATATTAACCCGCTCTACATGATTCCAATTTTTATTTCGCTGTTTTGTCCGTAAATCAATTGTTATTCCTAATATGGAACTCTGCTTCTATAACTCTTAGCCTTGGTGAGCTTCATTTGACTGGGACCGAACGCTATGGGTGGCGTCACACTCCCTGAGTCCAAGTTTTTGTAGTCTATGATATGGTCAAAAATGCCCTGAAAGATTGATGGCTCCTCTACACTAAATGCACACTTCAGCATCTCATCTGTGTATAATGATTACAGCCTTGTCTGCAAATATTTACTTCATGTTGCATTCATGTGGTACTTTGGTAGGTACTTTAAGTTGTGAAAGTCATACTACTATTTTTGTAATTTTATGTATGTACTTTCCGTTTTAGAATCTGACTTGTTGCTGTTTTGAATCACAAACAAAACATGATAATGATAATTTGAATTTAGCTTCAACTGACAATATTTTTTTTTCCTTTCCTATCAATTTTAAAGAATTTTTGTATATTTTATTGTTGCATTTTTATTATTTATTGACTTATTTATTTCAGCTTGGCACAAACATCTATGAAGGTGTTCTCATTTAAATGTATGTAATTATTTTGTGTATAAATGTTGTCAACCCTTGTAGACCTGTTTTAGCTTCACAGCAGATATTGTCTGCCCATATTTATGCACTAAGTAAATGTAATGAATAAACAACCATTTCCTTTCTGTGTTAATGATACAGTTTCCAGTTTATAGTACCACATAAAAGCAACATCCATTGTTATTGTCACTGTTGTATTTTGTGTTGTTCACTGTGAAAGCCTTAAAGCGCCTGTACCGGATTTTAAAATGAATCAGGAACATGTTTTAGTTTGAACTTTTAGCCCTGCCCACTAAATTCTTTCGGACGCTGTGATATTGTACCATGACACAGAAACAACTGCCTGAAAATCTATCATGCAGTTGGTTTGCAATGAGTCTTTGCAGCAATGTATTGACTTGACCAAAGAGGTGATCGTCATTGATACTTTGCTGCGGATGTCATCAACATTCTCTGGGGTTTAATGCTAACGTTAAGCACTGCTTTATCTGAGGCATGTTAGATTTTAATTTGAGCTTTATTTTAATACAATGTGACCATAACAAACTAATTTAGATTCAAACTGACTACTATAGGTGAGCTGATGTGTGCTGTTAAATAAGTCCTTCTCAAATAACACAGTCACATTAGTTAGTGACTGTAATAGTTTTTCAGTTATTCTCACCTTTTTTTGTTGAAAATCACACTCCTAAACAGGACTGATAACTGTTTAAATAAATTTTGTGCGATCTTAAATCTTATTTGGCAGTGTTTCCTAATGTGTACATTGTATCTCCATGGTAATTGATCAACATTCTGCCAATACACACCCTCAGTGTGATATCATTGCAAAGTATCAATAAGGAGCTTCTGCAATATAAAATAGATTATAATTCACAGTCTATTGTTACTTATTTAGCATCTTTCTCATTACAGTAAATGATGTAAAACATATTTATCTTGACAAGAATGAATTAAAATCAGGTACAGGCCTTTTGAAAACCTCTGGACTACAGCCTCACTGAAACCTCTCCTCCATTTTTTCTCTATGTGGACTGACATATCCGAACCAGCAGCATCTAAACATGGCACGTGTCTACTTCTTACAGTAATGAAGCATCGCTCGTGATCCTGGGCTTGCTCTAGTTTGTCCCTCGGAGGACCGTGGACACGAGACTGTGGATTTCCTGTAGCTCCCAGGGACACAGATAGAGAGAAGACATATTTGTGTTGTCAACAGCCAGCCTCCGCACGCTGCTCTGGTCCAACGATGTCTCTTTGGGATAACTACTCCAACTCCTCTTCATCAAATTTTTTCCACCTTTTAAGTGCTGTCAGCATCATGCGTCAGAAAGACAAATGGACTCCCCCCTTCCTCTCCCTCTTTCAATGTGGGCTAAATAAACTGGTATTGTTATAGGCAGACTCAAATGAAGCTTGTTACATCCCATTGTTAACACATTTTGGGCCAGTGGTCGGACCTGTGAATACGACTGTGAACACATTTGCATGGGAAATTTTTGTCATTTTTTAAACTGCCAATTAGGATAAAATTGTAAAAATTGTCAACCCGCTATGTTGTGTTTTTTTCCCACTGCTCAAGAAGAGACTGGAAAGCTCGTTTATTACATGTGATGTGATTATTACTGGGTTGTTTTCAATGGTGTTTTTCTAAACCCCAGCAGGAGTAACCATGGTTGCAGAAATAAAACAGCAAAGTGGACGCAGCGTGAATGGTTGATGGCGTGCGCATCTGAGAAAGTCTTTGATCGGCTGAGAAAATCAATGGCGTTGATTGGGGCTTTTAGTTGGTGTTTGACCTTTGATGTTGTCAATCAGAACAGTTCATTAAAAGGGGGCTTCACCTCAGAGCGCGCCCGTCAAAGCCACAAAAAGTCCAGGAGTGAAGGCCACGCACAAGTTTGACTTTGACTTTGAGACCGGTGCTTACGCGGTGCTTTAGATCTACTGACTAACTAGGCCTTCTAACCACCTGCTATTCCCGTGCTCAGAAAAAAGAATCCAAATATTGAATCCACATAAGTCGATAGGTTTTCCTCTGATCACCAGTGTGCGTTTTTGTTGACGTGTTTTTACTATATGAGATGGATTCTGAGTCTTCTTTAAAGGTTCTATATATTATGCTAAATTGATTCTTGTGATCTTTAAGCCCTATTAGAATGTTGTTATTTCAAAACTTGCCTGGAGTTGTGTTTTGTGTCATTCATACATGTTTGAGTAACCCTTTATTTTTAGTCTGTCTACATCTCCAAAGCTAAATGCTCAAAATGAAGATGTAGTTTTCAAGTGAACAGCTACATTTACTCTTAGTGTGGCCATATTGGCTTGTCAAAGTCTGATCCCATCAGATCCCAGAAGCTAAGCAAGGCTAAGCCTGGGTACTACTTGGATGGGAGACTGCTGGGAAAATCAGTTGCCACAGTGGGGCATCAGTTGCAGAAACTGTTGTTGTTTCTTTAGGCAAGACATTTCACCCACATTGCCTACTATGAAAGTGGTATGTGCATGAGTG